GCTCTTCAGCTTCATAAACAAGTATCTGAGTGACACTGAAACGCTCACATTCACTGGCAAGTTTCATTTCACAACATATTCTTATACGTATTGCACAGATTTGAGCATGGAGAAAATTCAACGGAACGCCTTCTCTATCTTACCGAGCTGCAACGATAAAGATTTTTTTCTGAAAGGCAGGGTGTCCAAAAAGATATTTTGGGGCATCCGGTATTTTAAAAATTAATATCCAAAAAATCCCTGAAATAAAATTATTCCAACAGTAAAAGAAGGAGCTACTCAACCACTTATTACCCGTTATTGCAATTCCACGCAGGTCCCACTTGCGACTGCAAATATCCAAACGATATCAGTCGTAACTCTCTGGATAGCTGCGACGATTCTGTTCTTCGGTTCTCGGAGATTGTTTCCTCAAGAAAAGTAGACAATGGCCTCACAAAGAAAAATCCCAAATGGGGTGAATCACCAGGAACTGAGAAATAGAATCATCGCTGCTTTACGCCTGACACTCTTCAAAAAGTGTGGCAAGAGCTTGAATATCGTTTGGACATTAGCAGTCATAATATTATTATAATCCCAACCATTTTCGTAGCCCGTGTTGTGCCTATTTAAAAAAATCAAACTTTTTTCAAGATGTTTTGCTTGCAGCGCTATTGCAGTGTCTGAGTGAAATTCAAAAGCACGGGACGAAAGACGACTCTTCGCATCGAGGTAATAGATATGGAAAATTTCAAGTCTGTGATTGACCCACATCTCCCACGTCACTTTAAGGGGCAATCCATTCCACTTGGGTTCCGGTTTCGGAAGCTCAGTGGCATCACACAGATGTTCGTCCGGAAACACGCTGACGAATGGTGTTCAAACGAGAGATATGTACAATATGAGAAGACATTCATTAAGTACGGGCGTTTTTCCATCAGCTCTCAAACATGGCAAGCTCATCGCGATCCATAAAAAAGGAGAGAAGGACATAGTCTCAAACTATCGGTCAATCACAATTCTACCGGTTATGTCAAAGGTCTTTGAAAAATTGGTGCAACAACGTCTCGACTCGTATCTCGACTCCGTCTCCTTCATCTCACAGTTTGGATTCCGTAGCAATCTCAGCACTCAAGACGCATTGCTTCATTTCTTGAAGGAGGTGCACTCAATCCTAAACAGAAATCAAGCAGTCGTAGGCATTTTCTACGATATCGCCAAAGCGTTCGATAGCATCTCCCACAAATTATTGCTACAGAAGCTAGAATCGCTTGGCGTCCGCGGTGTCGCAAACTCGTGGTTTCAGTCTTACCTCTCCAACCGGCAAGCAGCAGTACATCACAGGGATCATACAGGTCGCGTTCATGTCTCAGAACCGATCAACATTACTAGCGGCGTTCCACAGGGCTCGGTCCTTGGTCCACTCCTCTTTCTAATATATATTAACGACCTCCCCACCAACGCTCCCAAGATTCACCTCACGCTCTTTGCCGACGACACCACAGCCTGCCTTCCTGTTTCACGGAACTCCACGCCCACTTCCGTCTCAACATCTTGCGACATAGCCATAGATTCTTGGACAACCAACAACGGTCTACGCCTCAATGCATCAAAAACAACTCGAGTCCTTTTTTCCACACTCCGACGTACAGATCCCCCACTCACCTTCGCCACCTCAACCACTTTTCTCGGTATTCGTTTCGACCCTTATTTTCGCTGGGACAACCAGGTGGACCATGTCTGTCGCCTCTTGAAATATGCTGCAGCATCTATTTACCGTCTCTCTTCTATTCTCTCTCAGGAAGATTTTAAAAAATGTACTACGCTCTTGCCTTTCCTCACTTGAGCTATGGACTTCTTGCCTGGGGTCATTGCTCTGAGCGACATGTCTGTTGTATCCTGTCGCTCCAGAAACGCATCGTCAGAACCATCCTCCAAAAGTCAATCCGTACCACATGTCACCCTCTCTTCCCTAAACTCAAATTCCTTACCTTCCCCAGCTTGGTTCTCTTTCATACTAGTGTCTATTTCCATGTTATTCTCTAAAAACGAAGCCATCTCAAATGCAGGCGTACATTCCTACGACACCCGAAGTAAAAATGACTACCACCGTTCAATTGATTCATCCGCCCTGGCTAGTAGACTAATCTCTTGGGGGCCGCATTACTTCAATTCTATCCCCAGGTCAATTCAACAACTCAATCATACAGCCTTCCGAAGGCAGTTGAAGGAACTCTTTCTCTCACACCCGCTCTACTCATTCTCAGAATTCTTTGATATTACCTGGTAAACTCCCCTCCTACCCCACATCAGGGTTACTTACCCACCGTCCTCTTACTCGAGTTTCCTCTTTTGTAAAGATGCAGTCATACCTCCCTCCCCCTCCCCTCTTTTTTTATTTTTATTTTTTTATTTATTTATTATTTTTATTTCAACTCTCCTCATTTTGTCATTCTCTTATACCTCACCCCTTTTGATTCTATACTTATGTTCATGTGTTCAGTTTCGGTGTGTCCTATTCAGTTGTGTCCTAGTCCTAGTGTGTGTCCTAGTCAGTATGTTCTGAGTGTTCTGTCCAGTTCTGTTTATTTTCTTACTTATTTATTTTATTTGTCTGTTTGTTAATTCATTTATCTATTCATTTATCTCTTCACCTTCTGCCTCTTTATGAGAGTATGTACACTTGTAGTTTTCAGATATGACGAACTCAACGGACCAATTGGTCTTGCAAGAGTGATGGAATAAATATTATTATTATTATTATTATTTAGGGAGGTCGTAAAAAAACCCACCCCCAGGCAAGGGAGACTCAAAAGGGGTATGCTGGACCAGGGGCAAGAGAGATATTTCTCGCCATGCCATTATGGACTGACCCCAGACAGAAGCTGACTCGGAGAGAGGCTAAGTCTACCCTAACGCTCTCTACCTCTAAAAGCATTAACTTCAACCTAATTTCCAACGATAACAGTTTTAAAAGAACCTCTAGCGCCCCTGAATCAAAATATACGGTAAGGCCCCGCCTTAACAAAAAGAGCATTCGTATCCAATTCTTTACCGGGGCATCTCCATCATGTGGATTTCATTGTGTCCTACCTTGCGTCTCCATTGCGTGGTCCAAGTAATTCGGAGATCATCATGCGCTTCTTTTCTGGTTACTTCAGTATGAGGTTCCTGGGCATTTTCGTTCACGCAAAAGGAGAGGGAATGACCACTCGTGCAGTTCCGTCCGTAGCTGTTCATAACTATAATTTGATGAAATTACAAGGTGAAGGGGTCTCACGGCGACGAGCAAGAACTACGTGGGGAGTCATTCTCGGAAATTTCCCCTTGCTTGAAATGCTGTCCCTATGATGTGAAAAGAGCTTGCGAGGAGTTATTTCGCCGACTACTACCTACCGGGTTTGTCTCGGGTTTTCAATTAAAATATGCAGGCCTCTCGCAGAGTCTTTCGTTTCACCGATTGCTCGGCCCTATCACGGCAAGAAGCTTTTCCATATGTAGGCCTCTACAAATTTCCGGGCGGGAACTGTAAGTGATAATCCTGATCATCTTCATCTCCTAGCACAGCTTGAATAGCTCTTTCTCTCCGAGTCCCAGCGGGTCGAACACCCTTCTGACGCCATCGTATGGATTTTCTGCAGTCCCTTTCTATTTATTTAAATGGAGAACGCAAGACTTGGACAGGAATGAGCACCTGGGGTTCACATTCCTCATCGATCCGGGTCCTTCACCACGAAAATAAACGAGTCTCCACTGAACGTCGATGCCTCTGCGGGATTGAGCTATAATGACAAACTCTCCTATCTGGCATCTGCAAATTCTAGCCTGGTCATGGGACGGGAATTTCGCCAATAAATGAGATATCGCCATGGATAGATAATTTGTGACCTCCGTCTTTCCCTGCACTCACCCAACTGCGGCTATCATCTACTAGGCTTATCGGTTAACCTTGCACGGGTCTCGAACCTTTCCTATCGACGGTTCCGCAAATTCGTAAGTAAAGTTCAATTGAACTACTTCCTACTTCATTTTTCGACGATGAGACGATCAGCAACAATCGTCTTTCTAATCGCACCTGTTGGGAGATTGCTTCCCTCTCAGAACCTACAGCTGCTTCGACCAGTGGCGCAGCTACCGAATGTGCAGGCGGTGCGACTGCACCGGGGTCCACAGGCCAGAGGGGCCCAGACGCAGAGCTATGAAAAAGTGAGAGTCAGCAGCCGAAAAGGAAGGTTAAAAGGAATCAAAGGAATTCAACGCGACACTGCACAGAGACACCTCGCAACCGGGTCGCCGTTTCGTGTGGTTAAATGAAGTGGTGGCCACTTTCAATACCATTCATCCAGGGCCGGATTAAGAGGGGGGGGGGGGGGGGCCCTTGCCCGGATAAGTGTTAAGTCTTTCCGTAAAATAGAAGGGGGGGGGAGCGACTGCCTCTGCCTCTCCTCTGACCAAGTTTGCAGTCTATTTTTTAAATGTAGAAAGCATATAAGTTAATGTTTATTAGCTCCTGTGAAATAGATATTCAGACCCCAGACGAAAAATGAATAAGGCGACAGGACAGAGGGTGGTGGTAGGAGCTATGAAAAATTTCTATATCCGCCGCTGCCTTCCACTGACTTCAGCTACTGACGACGATTTATATGCTGCCGGAGAAAATTTATAATAAAAAATGACTCCCACATAATTCAATAGTAAGAAATTGGACAACGGGCCCCGTTTCATTCCTTGCACCAGGGCCCATGCCAACCACGCTACGCCACTTGCTTCCACCCCCTTATGGAGACAAGTTTAGTTACGTCGAACTGTCAGAAATTTATCAGAAAGGGTAAACTATTGTAATGCCATGAGAAACGTCTCGACAAGAAATGGCTTCACAGTCTTGAATGTCATTGTGTGAAATCACGTGGTCTCTGGAATACCATCCAACCTACGAGTTCGTACTCGCAAAGCTGTGTATCGAGATAGTGCATGGAAACCTATGTGTAGAAGGATGCACCATGTGGTTCCGACTTGCATTCCCTAGAGAGAGCCGTATGAGACGTGTCAAAGATGGCCGCGCCCGCTGTGGAATCCGCCGACGAGCTTTTCGAGATTCGAACTGCCTTTTACATCGGGAGCTTTCAATCCTGCATCAATGAGGCTCAGAAAATGAAAGTGAGTCATTTGGAAATACCTGATATGCCTAACGTAGTCATAGACCTAGTTCCTATATTCATTCCTTCGTTTGTGATTTCCAAGAGGAGGCAGCTGAGTCTCAGAACTCCAGTCAGAATGAATGGTAGTAACCCATAAGATATTACTTCTTTCTGTCTGTTGTAACCATGTTTTCACAGAATGGGATGTCAGACTCCACCTAATGAAGTGAATTTTTAAAATTTAAAACTCTAGTGCCATGGGCCAATATTTCAGATTCTCCCTGGTTGTGCAAAAAGTGCCATGAAATTTTCTTGCAGTTGGTTCCTAACAGGACTGACAGAAGACAACATGGGGCATATTTAGTAAAATGCTCCTTTTTTCAGCGTAAAGACACATTGGACTTTTTGAACATCCCTCACTGGAAAGCATGGCACTAAGAGGGTTAATGCCTTTTATCTAATTAAGACTGGGAAAAATATAGTCATTTTTAGTGCTCTTTGAGGGACCAGGTACTAAGCTGTTGTAGTTGCTTATCATATGACTAGTTTTTCAGATCAATCAGCATTTTTGAAGCCAGAGACTCATGGAGCCTCTGTTTCTTATTATCATGGAAAGGCTCTAGATTTTCACTAGTGCAAGCAAGATGATGACTTGCAAGCCAGATAAGATATCTGCTTGAGAATCAGAGCTGTGTACCTGATTTCTTATCCCATTGTCTTAATCATGGGTCATATAAAGTTGCTAAAAGGGTAATGGAAGAGGAACTTCATGCATAAAACTATGCATGATCCTTTATGAAACAAACATCCCAGATGTTGGATGGCAAAGGTAAGTGCTATGGGACAAGTGAACAACATCATGTTCACTGTCTACAACAATGTAAATATTGTTCAAACTATCCTAAATAAATAGAATCCGAACTTCTACTTAGGCTTCTGTTATTATCTCTTGCTTCATTCATTCAGGAACAGCTCTTGATTGCATAAGTCATTCTATGGATTGCTGAGGGGTAAAGACAGTCTTTTTAACAACTGTTCTGAGTCAAGTGTACCATGTAGGTGGCACTCTGGATTGAAGACAAATCCGGGAATTTCTCCATAAGTCTGAAACTTTGACAGAATAGGCATTGCAATATGGGGAATCTAGCAGTGGTCTTTGTTTGATAATCTACTTAGAACATTTAGAGATATAGTTATCACTCTCAGGGGTAAAAAGGCAAAAAGTTTTACAACACAGTGGACTTGATCATGGCTTTTACAGTAAGTGCCATGACAGAGTTTGCCGTTGCAGGACCTCCTCCTTCTGTTCAGCATCTCCGATTGTTTAGAGAGCACACAGTCAATGAAGCAGAGAGCAGATTGCTCTCTACTTAGGTGACTGTGAGGAAGGAAATGTTTTGGCAGGCAGCAGAACCATTTCTGGAACCATCCTATTGAGAACAGAGATGCTCAAGAAGGCAAAAGGACACGAATCATGACTTGTTGCTGGAAGATATCTGCTAATATCGTGAGACAAAGGTGTAATGTGGAAGATAGGGAAGGGTGAGTAGCAAACTACCCTGGAAGCAGTGCAGATTGGTCCAGAGCTCTTTGTAAATCAAAAGATCAAAGCACACCCAGTCCAATAGCTGCCGATATACATGACTGTGGTGGTAAGATGGGCCGACTTCCAATAGGCAGGAAAGTAGGAAGAGCTGTTTGAAACAGAGTAAGCTATACACCAACAGCCTCCTTGGATCAAGCCCCTTCAAGACTATGTATGTTACTCCACCTGTTATGGATCTGGCGTGGAGTGAGATTGCCACAGAAATTGGGGGGTTTTGGTACACTTAACTCAGAGAATGATTGTTAAGGTTAAAGACAATTGGCTTGCTTAGCTGTTAACACATCAACTAACAAACACTCATATGCGGAGGCATATTTATAGGGGACAAGGGATGCTTACTTCATCCTTGCAGCTGTTGAAAGTGCTTAGGATCCCTATGGGGAACTATTTTCACCCATGAAAACCTTATAGACAAGGTATGGCAAAAAAGATCAATGACTTTTAACCTAAATGTATCTGCTCGCACTGGAGTCATTTTTGCAAAATGCTCACTATGCATATGAATATGTATCCAACAGATTCTCAAAAATTGAAAATTTTTTTGGTCAGAAGCAATAATATCAGCACTTCTTGAGGCAGAGTTAGATGTTGAGAATGGAAAAGAGCTCCTACTGGTAGTGGAGAGAAGGAAACTCTTTAGCTATGGGCTATATGAGCTCCTGGTTCTGAAGACTATATTGAACTCATCTTCCATTTAAATTCATTCTTTGGGCTGGTCATTGCTTGCAAATAGTTTTCATGAGCTTATTCCCAATTTAGGATTCAGTGTGAGCAGATATATTTTGCCATACCATGTAGATGTTGATGTGTGTCCCATCCTTGCTCCTCCACCCAACACCTCCCTGCCCCCCTTGACTCACATCCTAAAATATGTCTATCCCATAAGTCTATGTTTTCCTTACATGGCTCAAACTCTGGTTGTAAAAGGTTTTTTTAAAAGTTGTAAGATGGCAATTGAAGGCTTGAGGCCCAGAGTAAGAAATCTATATTTTAATCACCTATGCAGATACTGAGAAAAATGAGATTATTTACTCCCTGTACTTGAATATGATTATCTCATAGATTGGACTTAGCCCAACAGACATGTAGGCCTAGATCTTAACTTTCTGGTGTAATGGCCAATGATGCCAATCACTGTTTTCATGGCTTAACATACCTTGGTGACACTGCAGGTGGGCAGCCCAGAAATGAAGCTGGAAAAAGACATCTTAATGTATCGTGCATACATTGCCCAGAAAAAATATGCAGTCGTTCTGGATGAAATCCGTCCTGATTCCCCTGAGGAGCTTCAGGCTATCAAGACATATGCACTATATCTCAGCTCTCCAGCAAAGAGGTATGGTAGGCATTATAACTAAGTGACAAAATCAGGACTATGTTCATTAACTTATAATCCTATATACTCCTTTTTTTTTTAAATACAGGGCTAGTCAAAATGATTGCAGCGGTTTCAGAAAATTACTACAGGTTTATTATTTGACATATACTTACAAGATTGCACAGATATATAAACAAATAGTGAAAGTTTTAGCCATGCTGCATCGAGTATGGGAAGAACTCGATTATAGAGTTGATGTGTGCAGAGTCACTAAAGGTGCACATATTGAGCATCTGTAAACACTAAAAAAAACTTTCACTATTTGTTTATATATCTGTGCAATCATTTTGACTAGCCCTGTAAAACTAATTAAATCATTCAAGTAACATTTCCTCTGCTGTTATTGAGTCTAATGAACTTTTTCCTTCATCCTCTCTCTAGAATAAGCATTGTGGCTGACCTTGATGCAAAGATTGCCAAAGGTGTGAATCCAGATCAGACCACATTCCTTCTCATGGCTGCCTCCATCTACTTCCAGGAAGAGAACTATGAGGAAACACTGAAGCTTCTTCATGAGTCTGATCATTTGGAATGGTGAGTATCAAGCATATTTTACCAGGGTAACTGGGTTGATTGGTCTTCTAGGCTTGGAGTGAAACATGGTTGGGGGAGATTGACCCTTGAGGTGGCAAGCTGACAGACATCTCACATGTTTTCTGGAGTGTCTGCTTTGGGTGGGATTAGCACATGTGTCACTCAGTGTGTTACATCTTGAAGATACAATTGTAATACACCTTAGAAAGCACTGTGCCGGTCATGGATATTAGCAACCCTTGAACTACCTACCTAAGGCCTCATGCAGGACCATGAAGAGGCAATCATGTCTTAGGCACTATTTGGGTGTGGTGCCTCAGTCAACAGGCATCCCATCTTCTCTGTGTGCTGCTATTGGAAAACACCCATTGTCTGCTGTGTCATACTTAAAAAAAAAGTATTCTGAGCATTGACATTATTGCTGGCTACTGGTTATGGATTAACTTGTATCCTCTTTCCTTAGGAAAGCCCTGACTGCATGATAATGTAGCATAATCTTTGGGGTGCTCATCAGGAAAGTTGATATTCAGTCATATTGTATTCCAAGGGTTTTCAATTTGTGGTCTTGGCATCTTCAAATATGTTGTTTTTATGAACTGCAATATGAATTTGGTTTCAATGCCTTATTTCAAGCCAAAGGGTTGCAGAGTCTGCCTGTTAATTGTTTCTTATCCCAACAGCTCCCCATTATGAATCCTCAGTCTTTAAGACTCCTTGCAGTCTTAAAGGTTGAAAATTCATTAAGAAGTCAGGACATTCCATTCAGAAAAATCATGCATGACTGAAAAATACTGTTATCTTTGCCATATGTACAAGTATGCAGTTTTTACTGGAGGACCCTGATCCCTTTTTTTTTTTTTTTTTTTTTTTTTTTTTTTTATTTTATTTTGATCCCTTTTTTTTTTTTTTTTTTTTTTTTTAGATAGAAGAGTGATAATGAAGGAATATATGCTTTTGCATCAAGATGCTCAGACTTCTAGCAGCCTGGTGCAGTGATGAATATTTCTTAGTTTTCATATATTTAAATATTGGAAAATGAGGAAATTCTTGCACTAATGAGAATTTTTAAATGGCATATTTACTTTTGAATGATCTATAATATATGGGTATGTCCAGGCCAAGTGGTCCTAGGATTTTAGCAGGAAATTTTCCTAAATATCCAAATATTACTTTTGCTGCAGGAGTTCATCATCTCTTTTCCCAGAATACATGAATGAAAGAGAATATTACATTGAAAAATGAAAGAATTAGTCATGTTATTTATGTATTATTCATACCATTCTCATGATACTCAAAAATGTGATGAAAATCCAAATCGGGAGAGACTGAAATGGACTACTGGAACAGGTCCAGCATGGGCTTTCCATGCATACTGATAATTTCAAATCAGCTCAGGTGTGAAGAGTAGATGTCAAATTTTCACATTTGAATGATACCTTAAAAATTAAAGTAAAATATATGTACAAAATTCTTGTTTCAAAATACATTTTCAGAACATGTCACATATGACACTCACAAAAAGGGCTTAATTTCTGTTTTATATGTAGTAATTTGGGGCAACTTACACTAATTCCAGGCTTTCATTCAATCTGTAGAATGAACATGAAACTGAATTATTAGGGTCTGCTTGATAACAGATATGTGAACATTAGAGCAAGTGACTACTTGAGGGTTCGCAAAATGTAATGTCTTACACTTTACACATAGGTACACCTCCAACAAAAAAGACAAAAGTGCAAGACTTTGTATTATGGAAATTTCAGTCACTACACAAAGCAAATTATTGCAGCTTTTATATGCTGATTTGTCATCCATAATATAGTTAAATACATTTTGTATGCTAAACATATTACTCAGAATGTCACATCCAACACTGTGGACAGACCCATATACTATCCATGAATTTCTGTTTTCTTTGACTTTTCAAAGCATATCTAGTAAGTTTTAATGCTAATTGTGTTCATGTATGGAAGCTGGGCATCTTTAAACAAGAAATAAAACAGGGCTGCCCATTTGGCTAAATTTATCAAGCACTAAATGATTGAAGTTTGAATTAGGGATGCACTGATGTGACTGATACTAATTGCCAGAGACTTAATAAAGAGTTGAGCTAGGTGGGTAATAACAACATCCAAAATGCTCTAAGATCTTTGCATATTTCCAATGCCAGATTTTAAAAGACATTAAACAGCCCACAATGAATCTGATAATAGTTTTTGCATTATTAATGGCTCTGTTAGTAATGAATGGACAATTGCTGGGTTTTTATCAGGATTATTTTATTTTGAAGCAGGCCATAAGTCATATGTTATTGCTCTCACTTTGAGTAAAACCATGGAAACTTAAACAAAATTATATATTAAGTCTTAAATCAGCTCTTGAGCATCATAACATCATATCATGAAAAACAGTGTAGTCTATGTGGATTGAGAACATTTTACTGCATGAAAGAAGGTGGTTTGACACTAAAGGCAAGATGACCTTGAATTTCAAGGCTGAGACTGGAATTGCATGGAAGCTGCTTGCTTCTGACCAAGCCCTCTTGTGCCAAAGTTAGTATTTCTAAGTATAGCTTTTGCCAAATCAAAACATAAAAATGACCAACTAACCTTGAAAATTCCTTAATATGGCAAAGTCAATTTGTATTTGCAGGCTGTGTAACTTTGAAATGGCATGAATCCATTTTGAGGTTTTGTAGCATCTCCATCTTCAACTATCGTGACCTTAGTTGCCTCTAGATATTGCGTACTTAATCTGGAAAAGGGGGTGTTTGATTATTTCCTCTCAAGGGCATTATATTGATGGGCAATGACTGATTGACATTCTCAATTATTCATAACCCAAGCCTTTTGTATTGGTTTGCTTCCTCAGCCTGGCCCTGTCTGTGCAAACCTTGTTGAAGATGAACCGTCCAGATGTGGCCATGAAGGAGCTGAAGAAGATGCAGGAGAAAGATGATGATTCCCCATTGACCCACCTGACCCAGGCATGGTTGCATCTTGTCCAAGGAGGAGAGAAGCTTCAGGAGGCATATTACATCATTCAGGAGCTGATGGACAAGCATGGCTCTACACCAACACTTCTCAACTGTCAGGCAACCAGTTTCCTCTGTCAAGGGAAGTTGGAAGAAGCTGAGGCCGCTCTCTCTGAGGCCCTCGAGAAGGATCCCAATGATCCTGACACTCTCATCAACATGATCGTCCTTTCACAGAGCATGGGCAAGCCTCCTGAGGTATGCATACTCCCACTTTCTTTTCCAATTAACTTTTCATAGGCACAGAAGTAGTAACATCTCGGTTATTCTGTATGGAGCCTATCACCTCTTACTAATAAGTTCATATGGTCATTTTCACATGATTCCTGTCAGACTTTACTTTCAAATGTCTGTCTGGGAAGGCTGAATTTTAGTTTCACATCCACATAGCTGAGCAGTGCTGAATTTTTAGGAAATAAATTTATGGTTGAATCATGCCTGTAATTTCCTTGTTTGCATTGACTGAAGTGACATGCATTTGAGAGAGTTTATGTATTGTGGTTATGCAGGTGAGTAGCCGGTATTTGAGCCAGCTGAAGGACTCGCACTCATCACACCCTCGGGTCAAGACCATCCTTGCCAAAGAGAGGGAATTTGAGGACATCCTCAAGTTTTACAAACCAGTTGTTGTCTCTTGATATATTCATTTCAGGCTTGCACATGGGAACAAGGGAAATCATTTCCAGAAAAAATATATATACAGTATTTAATCTGTCATTGGTTTCTTGATGCTTTTAGTGTTGTACTTGCTTGTTGGTATACTTCACCCAGGGATGTCAGAATGAGTTTGGCAGGTTGTGCTTTTTTCAAAGACATCCTTTTCAGTCAGTGAGCTTAAATCAGTCAGTTCCACCCAACTACTATCTCAACTAACCCCCATATATTAATTATATTCTAATGGGATGATGAGTCACAAATGAGACCTATTATTACTTTCCTATTAGATATTTATCGCACTTAATGCATGTCAAATGCTGAACTTACAGCTTAAATTTATTGTAAGGGTTTGACATGTGGGAAAATGTGATTTGGATCCAGAAAATACAGGGTCCCTTCAATAAGTCCTGAGTCATTCGATTACTCCCTTTTTTTAGCCTATATATTTTACATTTTTCAACCATTGGTATGTTATTGTCCCTATTGTTGTACAGATATGACTCATTTTTATTTGACAGTATGACTTACCCTGATGAATTTATCAAATTATGTTTATCCTGCTTCACTATTTTCTAGAATTGATCAACACCAATTGCATTTATTTATTAGTCACATAATACTATGATGGCTTCAATGCGAAAGTTGAAGCACGCTTTGGTAAAAAAAAAAAATAAAATAAAATAATTGAAGCAATTGATAGGATTCAAAAGGGAGCTACTCAGGCAGCAATAGCCAGTAACATTAGAGAATCTACAATTACTGGGTGGTGAAGAATCAAGACCAACTTCAAAACTTTCTGAACCAAATAGACCAAATCGAGGGTTTGAATGGGAAAAGGATGAAACTCATTTCGCTGATGTCAACCTAGCTATCTAAAGGGTATCCCAGAATTCCAGTCACAAATTGTGAAGGTTATTAAACGAGTTCCACAAGAGGCTGTGAAATGTAAAACGTTGGTAGCCCACATTAATTGAATGCAGAATGTGAGGTATATGCAAAAGATGCCCTCATGTGACAGGATAATGTCAGCGTTCAAACTGTTGTCCATCTGCGGTGATGCAGCGATTACAGCGTTTTGGAAAATCATTCATTGCACACTGCGCCACTTCCAGCAGAATTACCTGCGATGTGATTTTCAAGTGCTAGAATCAAAGCACGAACATCTGCAAGCTTCTATGAAAACGCATTATACTTAGGAAAGCCCCATAGCCATTAGTCCCAGAATGTCAAGTCCGGCGATCTAGGTGACCATTCAGCAAATCCTGCGACCGATCCATCTGCTTCCGAGGTGATCATCTCGAATTTCGTGACAAGCTGCGGCATAATTTGGGTGTGCGTCATCCTGTTGGAACGGATGTTCTTGGTAGATGTTTTTGCCAAGACCGGCAGGTCCAGATCTTCAAAACTGCACAATAGCGTTCTCGCCCTGGAGGCAGATGGATTGGTCGCAGAGGGTTTTTCTGAATGGCCACCAAGTTCAAACCGCCAAAGTCCAGGTTCTCGCTACACAACTGAGGAGCAGACTTAGAAGCCAGCGAAGATTGGTTCGTGCGCTGGCAAAAGCGTCATGGAGTCTTAGAAGTCTTCTAGAGGGAGTCTTGGTCTGCTGAAAGAGTAGCGGCCAATCAATTTCCTGCTTAGCTGAAAATAATCCTGCAAGAAGACGACCGGAAATTCCAAGTCTACATTGCAGACGAGGCAGGCCTGTACCGACAGTCCCAAGATCAAAAGATCCTCGAAAGTCTGACTTCAAGCAGCCAAAGATCGAGTTACATTACTGTTTGCAGCCGACAAGATTGGTTCATGCAAGCTGAAGCCTCTAGGCATCGGAAAAAGTCAAAGTCCCCGATCACATCGATACGACCTATCTTCCCGTGTTCTGCAGATGCTCTAAGAATGTTTGAGTGACAAGAGAAAAATTCACGGCTTGAATCCATCAAGATTTTGATTCCAACGTCCGTCTGCACATTCGAAGTCTGGGAGTGGAGGAAAAAGCTCTTCTCCTGCTCCAGCCTTCAGTTGAGGAACTGATGTCCGAAAAATGAAAAGATTCGCATCCGTTTTCTTCCAAAGAATAAGAAAAAAAAATTCAACCCCTACATCAAAGCCGTCAACCGTCGGAAATTTCGTCCGAGAATGCTGGCGACTGAGGATTTGGATGCATTCATGGCTCTACTCTCTGGAGGGCCTACTCTCTGAAGTCCCGTTGAAATGGCCTGGAATGAAATTAAGCCTGAATCAATAGAAGCTTGCTGGCATAAAGGTCTTCAGCTGTCTTCTTCTAGAGTCAAAACGTTTACTATGATGGAGAAAAAATCAGAATCAGCTATGTCAAGTGATGAAGCATCTTAATTTGGACGCCTTATAGAAAGGTGGACGATGAATTCCCAGCATTCCAGATTCTGATTCGAAAATCGCTTTGGTGAGGCCTAACACTGAAGAGGATTCGATAGAAGCTGAATAAGAGAAAGGGTGAAATAAGGAGCCAACTCCGCGTGCAAAGGAGATTTCTGGGTTGGAGGTGGCTCTGCAGTCTAGAGACCCAAGGTTCCTGCTACGTGGGACCACTAAAACTGCTACAGTTGAAAGGATTCCTGAGTTGTTGTCGTCGAATTCGCCAGGAGAAACAGAAGTAAGCCAACGTAAAAATTTTTTTCACAAGTGTTGGACAGCTTTTCAGACCCGATAGAATTTGATCATAATGCTGAAAGCTGGCTGAGCCTAAGCAGTAGTGATTCTGAGCGAAATAACACCAATAGTTCATAATTATACATTTTAATAAACGGGGAACGGAAGGACTTCCACTAAGTCATGGACCTTGCAAGTGCATGAAGCCCAATCGTCACGTAATACGAAGTCAACGGTCAACCCTCGAGTGAGCCCGGACATTTTCTCAAGGAGGTAGCAAAGATGTTGGTCACAGAGAACAGGAAAATCGACTCACTCGTTGGAAAACAAGAAATAATGATGAAGGAATTAGGGCAGTACGCCTCAGACTTCTCAGAGGTTAAGAAAGCAGAGACGTTTCTTTTCGTTTCGTTCGATCCCCTTGCGAAACACAGCGAGAACCGCTGGCATCGACCCAGATTCTTTCCTTGGCCAGCATTGGCCTTCGACAAAAGCCATTTAAGTCATGGCATGAGGGTAAAAGAGAGTTGGCACATTAATCGTGTACCATGGAATAAGGGAGGAGGGCAAAGGGAAAAAGCAGGTTGAAGGAAGCGATAGATGGACCCAGTGAGAAATAAAATACAGGAGGGAGGGAAAAAACCACGATTATGTAAAATACATCAGCGAGCGTTCCCTATCGTGACCGATAGCTGACATGATGAGCGACATGCCCCAAATAGATTCAAAGGGAACACATTCATCAGTCCCATTCCCATTCATTCCCATGGGATTAACTACGATACGAAGTGACCATGAATTAAAGCGTATCCCAATCGAGTGGCTCTTATGAATACGTAAGCGTCCGACTCGTATAAACAGAAATAAACGGAGAAAGTGACACCCTCTGTATTTACTGCTCGTGAAAAATCAAGAAGATGGACTCATGAAAAACTTCTACGGTAAACTCACATTCCGAAACTCAGAGAAAGTGCAGCGAACTCTTTCGCTCAAGGGTGTATAAGAAGGCGAAGACTGTGGAGGAGGGAGTGAATTGGTTCTGAAGAAACTAAAACGGCTCATTTAAAGTCACGTCAGTCAAATTAAGACTCGATCCCGAGTTCCTCAATTCAATCGTAGGAAAAAAAAGTCCAAAAAAGGAAGACTCCACGCATGAACCGACTGTGAAGTAGTGACGAACCCAGCACTCAAGTGTCCCTAGCACATCCTATGCACCCTACTTGCGCTACAATCAGCATTTCGGCTCCCCTCACTTCCCTCTTTCCCATGGAATAGATGTATTTCTGCACACAACTCGGCCCACCCGTCGTGGGAATAAGCCTCTTCGTGTCATCCAAACCTTGAACTGCCATGTTACAGTTGGTGCATGCCTTTATTCCCTAATTCCCCAAAAGCGGGATTGAGTCGAATAAATGACAAACCATTTTGCGAGGAAAAAGCTGAACTTCAGTACTGTGCTCGTTTCTAGTCAGAGATTAGCCGTCCCCACTCGTAAGATCGTCAGATGACGTTTTCCCTCCATAATCGATGAAAATTCTATTCGGAAATTATGAAAATGACGACTTCCTCTTCCAACAGGAACCCTCGAGAAGAGAGTATGTGGAGGGGATATTTTTTTTGTATCGGGCGATGAGATTCACCAATGAACCATAGTCCTGCGAGATGAGTGACGCCATGAAATAGACGATATGATTACTACCCGAAAGCAATCATGGCCGAGGCCGAGTTGTTTCCAGTATGTCCTCTTGTCAGTACAACTGTTGAAAAAAAGAAATCGATGATAATCCATCCACATCACATTTCGACCCTGGCTATATGTTTCTGGAACTGCATCCTTCCAAGCGGGAAAATGTCCACATATCGTTCCCAGTTCTCCTAACAGCAGAGAGCCTTTCGGTAATACGGAAAAATCAGATCGGCAGACGCGCGAGCAACTATTCACTCAGCGAATTTTTATTTCCCCATCGTCTTCGTCTCAACTAAAATTGGCAACCATTTTGTCGAGTTTTAGAGGTGTCTTCCACTTTCGCCCCCAAGATGTCACTTACAGGTAGATGCAACATTTGTCCCTTTATCTAATCTGAATAAAAGGGGGGGGGGGGGAGCGAAAGTACCCCGGGGCGAATTTCCTGCAGTTCCTCAAGGAGATAAGAATAATTCTTATCTGGGGTGGGGGGGGGGGGGGGGGGGCCAGACCGGAGTTCTCCCAAGCACCCCGTGGGCCTGCTTTGGGGGGGGGGGGGGGGGGGGGGGGGGGGGGGTGCCAGACCGGAGTTCTCACAAGCACCCCGTGGGCCTGCTTCTATCTGCTTTCACTCCATTTTTCTTCCTCAACTAGCCATCATTCGTTCGACAGGTCTAATTTTGTAAGATAACGGTTCTTTCCATCATCGTCACATCCGCTGAAGCTGTATGCCATTATCATCGAGCTATGGTCACCCTTCCTCTCGCCCATTTTAATCGAATTTCGTCTTTTCGTCATGAACTACTATTGTCGTCTCATCGGTGACAAGGAAAATCCATTGGTCGATGAAGTACTTGCGAGCAAGAATACGATTTCTCGTGCCAGCAGAGAGCGATACCATGATTCTAGCAAGCAAGCTACACTAATGGCGCGTTATGAAAGTAGGACTCTTACAAGAATCTTAGATAGTGGCGTTGCCAAACGACTTCTCATTTCGAGGGATCGCGAGCGGAGTGCGCAGTCTTCCAGCTGCCTCGAGAACCTCTGCCTCTCCGAAGGAAACCTCCCGCATACAGTGAGATCACTCAACCAGACGTAACGTCAGGCGTGTGGATGATGAATCCGCTCGGATTTTAATAACGCTATCGCGGTTGTCAAGAGGAAATGCCACACTTTTGCTTATTCTTGTTACCCTCGTGAATGTCAAAGAGGTAGTAGGGTATTTTTTTAAAATTTGCTTTACGTTTCGTTCCGGGATTTGCTGTTTTGATTTATAAATAAAATTATTTCCTTTTCTTTCAGTTATACCAGTATCATAACTCTGGGAATCGATTGCAGGAGTCAAGCGCATTGGTTTTAAGTAGTCAGGCAGGAAAGAGTCGGCATCAGCACGAGCGTCATATTGGGTTGGAAAGAAAGTCTTGCAACACTCTGCGCAAATTATTGCAGCTTTTATATGCTGATTTGTCATCCATAATATAGTTAAATACATTTTGTATGCTAAACATATTACTCAGAATGTCACATCCAACACTGTGNGGACGAAGGAGCAGTGATTCGCAGACACCGACACGGCTTGCTTTGTCAGAGTCGCCGAGCCGATGAGGAACCCATGTCGAGTAAACCTTCCGATAGCCGAGGTCGTTCAGATGGTTGCCGATGGCCATATGGGTGACTCCAAGTGTAGTCGCCGATTCGCGAATGGTGGCGTTCGGCTTCGCGTTGAGGGCGTTCCGCAGGGCTTCGTCATCGACTATCGATGGACGTCCTGAGCGTGGTCGATCTCCGAAGGTCGTGTCGCCAGATTCGAAGCGTTTGAACCATCGAGACACCGTGGAATAGTGGACGACGTTGCCCTTGAATGCAGCGCAGATGTTGTCCGCGGCGGCTCTCGCAGAGTGTCCTTGGAGGAACTCGTGGTAGACGATGGGGCGAAGAGTTGCTCGCTCGATCGGAGCCATGGCTGCCAACTGATGTCAGAAGCCGCCTTATATACCCCGAGGGCAGAAGCTTCGAGAACATTCCAGCATATACAAATGCCCATCATTCCTTTGAAAATTTTTTATAAATAGTTTTAGAAAGTGTTGCAATACTTTCTTTCCAACCCAATACATAAACAACCTGGATGCCTGACGTGCAGCCAAGGCATGATTCACTCACCAACTCACCAGGGGTATAAAATCGCTTTAAGCAGGGTTTAATTGGATATCGTGGCGACATTATATATACAGGGTGGGCAACAACAAAAAACGAAACCTGTTTTCAAAAATTAATATCTCCTAAACTAATAATGCAACGATGATGAAAATACACAAAAATAAAGTACATTCAATTCTCTTTATAATGATATGGTGGTTTTGCCAAACGGATACTTATTGTTGCCATAATTAGCGTTTGAAAAAAATTGCCCCCGAAAAAAACTTGCACAAAAAGAAAGTTGCCTGGATTCATCGCCTCCTCTGCTTTATTTTTTTGTTTCTCGTTACTGCACAGCATTCTCATACTGAAACCATTCAACTTCATCTTTCTCTTATCGTTCCCTCACCATCCCTCCCCCAGCCCGCCGCCCGCGGGCAAGCAGGACCACCGGATCAGATTTTGAATAAGAGTTCTTTGTCCAGCACCAGCAGTTTGACCTTTTTTTTTATCAGCATCCTGATTATTCATGACCGACTGGAGTTCTTCATTTGAGATTCATTATTTAAATTTATTATTAATTATTCTAGGGCCTTTTCAAATGGTTTTGAGTGAAAGTGATAAATGCCTGATCCAGGCGCTCCGTGAAGAAAAACTCTATTCACTGAACAAAATTCTTGCTGAATATCCTGCTCGGAATTGGAAAAAACCAACCGTCGCAGCTTTTTTACGGAAACTTCGTGACCATGGTAGTGGAAAGCGTCTTGCTGGAAGTGGACGTCCCATGAGTGCAAGAATTCAAGAAAACATTCAAAGTGTTGGTGAATTATTCTGCAGTCAAGAAGGGCATCCAGGGACGAGTCTGAGTGTGCGGCGCATTGTGAAAGAAACGGGAATAAAACGTGGTTCGATGAGGAACATCATTAAAAAAGACTTGAAGCTGAAAGCGAGTTCCCGTGCAGGAATTGTCTGAGCGAGTGAGAAAAAAGCGCTTGGATCGCTGCAGAAAACTTCTCGACCGTTTTTCCTCGGCAAGCAAAATCTGGTTCTCAGATGAGAAGTGATTCACTGTTGAGAGGCCTCGCAATACCCAAAATGATCGTGTCTATGCAGCTGTGGCCAGGAAGGATGCTGTCTGCCCTGTGCGACTACTGCGTGAGAGAGCTCATTTCTCGGATTCTGTGATGGTATCTTTGGCTGTTTCTTCGACGGGAAAAACAAGAATTTATTTCATCGATCGTGAGGTTAAAATCAACTCACAAAGCTATTGCAGTGACCTTCTGTATGCAATGTTGCCAGAAATTGAAGATCAAATGTCCGACTACACCTTCATGCAATATGGAGCTCCTGCTCACACAGCTAAAGCTACCATTGACTTCCTTCGGGAAAATTGTGCGGACTTCATTGAGCCAGACAGCTGGCCACCCAACAGTCCCGATCTGAATCCTGTGGATTATTTCGTGTGGTCTGCTTTAGAAGAAAAAATGTACCGTGGACAGAGAATTCGTACGGTTACGCAGTTGAAGGAACGAATTTTGGCCGCGTGGGAAGTTCACCAAGCCTCAATTGCGAAAGTTATTGGTAAATGGCGAGGACGATTGCGGGCTGTTTTACTGCAAAGTGGTCATAATATAACTATTGAACCATTTGTGGCTAGATGAACTGGGAAGTGAATTTTTATCATGCAGGACAACGCGCCCTTACGGAAAAATCCTATAGGATCCTATAAGATTTTTGAAACATGAAAATCTTATGAGATTCTTATAGGAATCCCATAGGGTTCTTTTAGGATCCTATAGGATTTTTCCCTAAGGGCGTACTGTCACAAAATAATAGAGAAATAAAGTATCATTTGTAGAAATTCAGTTGTGCAACTTTTTTTCGGGGGTAATTTTTTTCAAACGCTAATTACGGCAATAATAATTATCCGTTTGGCAAAAGCCACCACATCATTATAAAGAGAATTGAATGAACTTCATTTTTGTATTTTTTTCATCACCGTAGCGTTATTAGTTTAGGAGATATGAATTTTTGAAAACAGGTATTTTTTTTGCCCATCCTGTATATTGCTTTGATCATCATTCTCAATGATAGTTATTTAACATTTCCCTTTTTTTTTCAAAAATAAAAATTGAAAAAGTTCAACGAGCAATAAAACGGGCAAATGAATCAAATATGCAAGTTTATTACAAATCAGGACATTAAAAAAAAAGTTGTCTCCAGGAAGCGGATGTATTCTTCAAACAGAAGAATGCTCCCAAAATCGGAAGGGTAGACTTACAAAATTGAAAAAAACTGAGCATTCATACTTGCAACTTCAACCGGAAACGGATCCTGTCACATTGAAGCGGAAACGGCTTGAACTCTTAAAACGAAGCAGAGAAAACATTTCAAATTTTCAGCCTCGATATGTCATGAAAACGGAGCAAGAGCACAACTGCTCTTGAAACTGGAATGGTCCCATGTCAGCACTGCACTTCAACAAATACCACTGGACGATATCACTGAGTCCAGCCTTTAACGAGAATGGCAGAAATGACAATAAAATTGGTATGATTCAACCTGTCAGAAAAAATATACACCTATCTCCACACAATGTTCATATGAAGTATAAAGCAAGGATATTGCTTCAGCCAGTACCAATGAGAGACTTTTAAATTACAGACTTAGAAGCTGTCTGCAATTCAGAGAACTGGAAACCCTTATTTTGTATTTCAACAAGTGAACAAGTCAAGCAGGAACCGTAATGCTCGTATAACTATCAAGCAGGAATGAAGGCTCAAGAGAGAACAGTTAAGTTGACAGTCCCATGCGCTTGCTTGAGGATTTCAACGGCCTGTTGATGAGTGACACCCTCCAGACTTTCGCCATTAACCTCCAGGATCTGGTCACCGCGTTTAAGACCGCCTTGGGTAGCAGCTGCACCCTTGGCAAACACCGTCTTCACATAAATTGGCAAGTCACCATGGGCGCTCCCAAATCCACCCACTATTGAAAAGCCTAGTCCATCTGGTCCACGTGTGAGCACAACCGTCTTCTTCTGAGGTGCAGAATTATTTGATCGCTCGGGAATGGCTCCTGCTCCTGGGATGCTTCCTCGACGTGGACTCGCCTTTAGCCGACCGATTCTCAATTGAATCCTGCCCATGGTCGTCTTCAAAATGGCTGCGGCTGCCTCCTGGGTAGCAAATTGTAGGTCTTCAGTATTCACGGCAAGGATCTGATCACCCTGCATCAGTCGTCCATCGAGAGAAGCTACTCCACCTTCGACTACTTCCGAGATGAAGACTCCTGGTCCATTTTTCTTCCCCATAATACTCAGTCCCAACCCCCTATCAGGTTTCTTGAACATTTCTACATCAAATACTTCAAAGATATCTTCATCACCCAGAAGACCCTCTTCTCGGAATACGACGAGCCGTACCTTGGCCGGTGTTTGCCTCAGAGCTGCAAGTGCTTCCGTATGAGTTGCATCCCTGAAGTCTTCATTGTTCACCTGCAAAATCTGGTCTCCGGGTCGCAAGCGACCATCTTTTGCAGCTGCTCCATCAGGGTACACTTCATGAATAATAATGGCTCCAAGTAGAGTATCTTTACCTCCAACAATGCTTAAACCCAAGCCCATCTTGTCTTTGTCAATTTCAATCGTTGTCTCCTGTCCTGGAATGATGGGGCATGTGGATAAATCAGGAACTTCTTGGTCATCTGTTTCATCTCTCAAGGGTGGCTTCGCAAATTGTTTCGGCGGTGAATATGAGCGTTGCGCAAACTTAGCAGGTTTTGGGGGCACTTTTGGTTTCTGTGAAGGCCTGGAACTTGGGGAAGTCGATTCCTTGCTTGAACTCTCTCCTGATAATGAAGCAGTGACACTACTGCTGACACTTCCAGTCTCTGGTTCCTCAGTCCTTGTAGTCTTACAAACGATCATGGAAATCTGTCCAGTAGCCGCTTTCAGAACGGCTGCCGCTTTCTCATAGGATGCGCCTATTAAGTTCTCATCATTTACTTCAATTATCATATCACCAGGAGTAAGTCCGGCATTCTGGGCAGGGCTCCCTTCTTGGATATTCAAAATAAAAATACCCTTCCCTGCTTTGGGGTGAGTACCTTCTATGATCATAATACCGAGCCCTGTTGTGCCCTTCTGAAGCGTAATCTTTTTCAGACCTTGCAAGTGGTGCTTTTCTGCTAAGCTTGGCTCAGACGTACTGGTATTAGAATCTTCCTCTGGGTCAGGTGATGTCGATGCCCCATCATTGGCCCTGAGAACAAGCAATCGAACAGAAGAGGTCTTAAGACTACGTAAGAGAGCTGATGCATTGACATGATTCAGCCCGCGGATTGCATGCCCATTCGCTTCCAAGATCTCATCTCCGACTTGTACCTTACATTTCTCTGCTTCTCCGCCAACAGCTGCCACAAAGACCTTGTTGACTGCATTTTCTCTCCGTCCTGCCAGCGTGAGTCCCAACCCCTGATTTGTTGGGCTCACATCAATTTCAATGATTTGACCTTGCAATGTGCCATACTTGGTAGTGCTGGCTGATGAATCTTTTCTTCCACTTTCTTCGCTTTTACTTGTCTTCAGTTTTCCTGCATTAGCTTCACTGTCAGACTCTGACGATGGGTCAGATGGCTTTCTCTTTCCTTCAGATGAAGAATCCCGGTCAGAGTTAGAGTTTCGAAGAAGCAGACTCTGCACAACAAAGCAAACTGGATTTCTTGCTCCCCTGATCACTTCAACGGCATATTCATGACTGGCATTTCTCAAACTGATTCCATCTACTTCCAAAATCCGATCCCCAGTATGAAGCTGTCCGGTGCGACCAGCAGGGCTCTCTGCTAGGACATTCTTGATAAAAATCCCTGATATCACTGAATCATTACCAGACTCACCGTTAACATCCACTTTCCCACCAACAATGCTGATGCCAAGGCCACGAGTAGGTTCTCTCTGCACCATCACTCTACGCTCCTGACCCCAGTATTGCGAGACATTCACGGATGCCTCATCCAAAGTTGAAGAGTTCATATTGCCAGAATCATCGGCAAGGTCTTGAGTTACCACCTCATTCACATTTGATTTTTCCTCGGGCGATCCTTTGAATGTAATAAATGTTGGCTGTGGCTTCTCCAAAACAGGCTGATTCAATGTTAGTGTGGAAACTTGTGTGACCTTTCCTGTACCGTTCCCTTTGAGAATTTCCCGCACCTCGCTGATCTCCACTCTGTTTTGTAGGCTTTCTTCCGTGCCTTTCACTGATTTGATTGATATCACAGTTGGACCTGCAACATTTTCAGCCTCAAAAGTCATTGCAGACTTTTCCAATGAAGGCTGAACTGCACTGGGTGATGGGGCCGAATCTGTCACTCCCAGAATGTGTGTCATCTTTTCTAAATTAGTTTCGCATTCAGGAGGCACAAAGGTGATTTCAACCTCTGGCGTGCATGCACTTGCCAAAATAGCTAATGCCTCTGCTGAGCTACAACTTTCCAGACTTTTCCCATTAACAGCAAGAATGAGATCTCCTACTTTAATGCGCCCATCGTGCCTCACTGCTCCATCTTGGTCCAAATCGGTCACCCTCATTCCGCATCCCCTTTCAGACGCAACTTCCACTTGCATGCCTAGCTTATGATTGGGATTTTTCACTTGTATGTGCCTGTATTTCTGAAGAACTGTCGTACTAGGAAGCTTATATGACTGATTCTCATTAGCAGACGGTGAATTGAAATGAAGGTCACTTTGAGGTTTCGGGAAGGAGTTTGGGGAATCTAAGGGCTTTGTGGCGACCAAGGAGATGCTACTACTAATAGTGAAATCAGTGGCATCAAATTCTGGGGGAGGAAGAGGCGGAATTGTGATACCTACACTATCAAAACTGAAATCATTGTTGGGCGTAGTGCTATCAAAGTCACTAATACTTGGCTGTGAGCTCCCATCTTGACTCAAAGCTGTCGTAGATTCAGACAGCAACAAAGGTTTGGCGATGCCAATCTTCACTGTACCCTTGGGAATGCTCTTCAAAACTTGAACAGCTTCTTCCAAAGAGGCATTTTCTAGGTTCGAGTCATTCACGAACATGAGTCGATCACCTGGGAGAAGGTGGCCATCTTGTTGTGCAACCCCTCCATGAACAAGGCTTCGGATCAATATCACGGTTTCTTCGGGATTGACGGGATCCTGATAGTCCAAGATGGAGAACCCCAGGCCTCCTTCTCCCTTGTTGAGCTCAATCACCTCAACATCTTTCGTGTTCCACATAGCGACACCAGAAATTGGGTCCATAGATAAGGATCTATTCCTCGAAAGACTGATTTTCAAAGAGCTATCACTCACATGAGACACTGGGCTGGAAGCTATTGATCCTTCCGATTTAGCTTTTATAAGTCTCTCTCCGGAGGATGTGGGACCCTGATAAGATTCATCATGGTATTCATTCTCAAGGATGCTTTCAGGTTTCATGCCAAACAATCGTGGTCGCAGTTCATCAGACTTGCGGGCACACACAAGTCGAACATGTTGCGGGAGGTCCTTGAGGATTGCCACGACATCCATATGATTGAGACCCATGAGTCTCTTTCCATTCACTTCAAGCAATTCATCACCGCTCTGCAAAATTCCATTCCTCCCAACAGGGCCATCAGAAAGGATTGATCTGATGTAGTGATGAGGACGAACCTCTTTCCCATCTTCTACATCAACGGTTCCTTCCAGACTTATTCCAAGGCCACCTCCACTGGGGTTTCTTGACAACTGAGCAACAACTATTTCATGGTCACTGCCCAAGATCTGACTCCACTTCTGCTTTATTGCTTCTTCAACATCAGGTGAAATCACCCCTGCATAATTTGAATCTATTCTTTTCTCCAGCTGTTCAATGGGGATCACAGGAAAAAGAGATTCACTTGGGGCAGGTTCAGGCACGACATCAGGTTTAGGCACAATGGGGGAGGAAAGTGTGGGAGAGACAGGTGGAAAAGCTTCAGAAGTTGCTATTGCTTGCTGCAGCTGCTCGTATTTCGGTCCACGCAAGTATCTGGCAAGTTTCAGGCACACTGTTTGACTTGTACATCTTAAGACTTCCACAGCCTGATGGTTGTTATACCCAGCCAATGATTTCCCATCCACCTCAACAATCTGATCATTCACCTGGATTTTCCCACTTTCTGCAGCAGTACTACCAGGAGTTATACTCTTCACAAATATGCCAGAAAGTTCTTCTTTCTCACACACATACCCAGCTATTGTGATTCCAAGACCCTGGCTACCTTTCACTAGGCAGACTTCTAAAGTCTCCAACTCTGGCAAATTTTCTTCAGGTGTTACAATGACACTTGGTTGTGAAACTCCTGATCTCTCCAGGCTCACATTGGAATTGTTATCAGGCTGTGTAGGCAGTGCATTTGTTTCCCCAGCTGCAGTGCACTCATTGTTCAACATATTTTGTTGCACTTCTATAAGGCATTGTTCATGGTAGCCATTCAGGAGGGCTGTAGGTGTGACACCAGCAGCAACCTGTGCAGCAGCTGTAATAATTCTATCAAGCTCCTCTGAATCATTCAGTAAGCGGCTGGAGACGATAGGCGCCATTCCAGCCACTTGTTGATCAGATCCAGGAGATTCAGCAGGCCTTGCCACAATGAGGCGTACATGTGAACCAGCTTGCCGAAGAACAGTGGCAACCTGATCAGAACCCATACCCCGGAGGTTGACATCTCCAATTTGCAAAATATGATCACCAACCTGGAGACGCCCATCTCGATCAGCGACACCTCCAGGAACAACAGTCTTGACAACCACACCTGTACTTCTTCCTCCTATGATACCAAAACCAAGCCCAGAGCCATCATTAATGAGTTCCACTGCCTCTACTTGCACCCATTCACTGTTGATGACCATGCTGGTATCCTTTACAGCTCCAGCTGGCACATTTGGAGTCCCACGAGCAATAACCAATACAACAGGGCCCTTTGCCTGCTGAAGGATGCCAATGGCTTGATGATGTGAAATGTGTGCATCCAAAGCTTGGCCATTTATGGCTAAGATTTGGTCTTCCTCACGCAGACGACCATCACGTCCAGCCAAACCTGTTGGCTGTATTTCTTGAACAAATATCCCCAATTCTCCACGGAGTTCACTCTTGAGTCCAACTACACTGAACCCAAGACTACTACCCTCTGGCTTGTAAAGCCTTATCACATGGATGGCACGATTCCCAGCACTCTCATGGATTGCTTTTTGCACTGGCACTGGATACTGCTGTATTTCACTCTCACAATCAAACAGAGTCTTGGTCCGCTTCACCTCTTGGCAAGCTCCCTAATTAGAGAAAAGAAGGCAATGTGAAAGCAATCATCATTGCATTCCATTGTAGTAGTGATGAATTAACAAACACAGAGATAAAGGCTGAAAGATACCTCTCCCTTTAGGAGGTTATTTCATACGTTAATGATAAACAAGGTAAAATGGCAATGTATTGTGAAGCCATATTTTGGCCCTCCTTTATTTTCAATTGAATTGTCAACTGCTATGTAGTATTTTTCTATATTAAAAAAATGGTCCAGAGAAGATTCGTGAACAAGAGAGCTTCAATCTTTTTGCACAGTAAACTTTGACTTGTCAGAAAAAAAAATTCTAGTAACAAAAAGAAAAACCTTTGTATCATTACAAAATGCAAGAATAGTGCACTGACATGAAACTTCATGCTTAAAATGAGATACACCCTCCACATTTTTTAGAGCAAAGTGCAGTATTGATGATTGTTGCCTGGAAAGTTTCTTGTAACACACCAACACACCATCCATTAACCTTTTGACTTCCTGCTTGAGTGTCTAGATGGCACCAGGTTTTATTTCTAAAGTGTACTCCTTAAGGTACTCCCATGACAATAAATCTATGACACACAATCCTCACCTGAGAGAACATACTAGGAAGCACACTTTCAAAGAGAAACCAGCTGCCAGTGGCAGCAATGGAATGTTCAAAAAGAGATTTAATTACAAATTTTTTCTGAAGATTAACATTTGCAATTCTTTTACATGTCCATATATAATGAATTATTTCAGGTACCCCCAGGTATAAGTTATGCCAATTTATCAGTTTGGGGATGTCCCTCGGTTTGGTCGAGTAGACTTTCGACTTGACAAAGCCCTACATGAAGAAGTCGCATGGCGTAAAGTCCGGCCCGCCCTAACTCATTTTGGCAAAGAAATTCATGCCTGGCTGAAAAAAAAGCTTCCGGATCGATGGATGGGTCGCGGATCGCCGGCAATGTCCTGGCTGGCCTGTTCACAGGACTTGACGCCTTGCGACTTCTTCATGTGGGGCTTTGTCAAGTCAAAAGTCTACGCGACCAAACCGAGGGACATCCCAAACTGAAGGAACGAATTACCGCTGCGTTTGTAGACGTTACTGTTGAAATGCGCGAGAAAACACTGCTTGAATACCACAAATGATTGGGAAAAGTCTTTGAAATCGATGGGGCTATGTTGTAGTTCATAGCTTGTAATTGGTGCATTTAATTTCGCTGAAACTTTGTCACAATAAATGCTAAACAGTTGTCTAAATGTTGTGGAAAATTTTGTTTAGTTTGCTCAAGTAGGAAGAATTTCATACGCGATTAAAATCGTCCGCGATAAGTGGAACACCCTGTAGTTCTAGCAATGACATTTGTGCATATCAGAAATGAGATTTAATTTCAGAATTAAGTTAGATATATAAATATTTTTGTTCAAACTTTGATATAGACCTTCATTTTTCTATTGAGTCTAAACAAGGACAGTTCCAGTATTCCCTTCAATCACACACTGAAATTAAAGCAGACTGAAACTAGTTATTTTGGATTGGCCTCTTGATTAAACCAGCGGCTCTTGCTACCACTATAATATAAGGATTGAATGGCCCGCAGTAGCCGACGGTTAATCTCATACGCCTGCAGCAATCCCCACAGCTTCATTCTAAGTACACGTTCGAGGGCCTTTCGAGATTCATAATGCGCATATAAACTTCTGTGGCATGTTCCCAATGTCTATCGAAAACCTGGTGTAGAATGACAAAACCGGTCTGTACTGCTGCGCCCTCTACGAAATCCGCACTGCTCCCTTCAATGACAAATCCAACGACTGCACAAGCCTTCTTTTCGAGCACCTCCGTACAGAATTTACCAGGTATGCCGAGGAGAGTGATTTCACGGTAGTTGGTGCAATCCCTCTTCTTTAAAAGGTGCCACTACACCGATCTACTGATCCATCGGTGCCCTTAGCTTTCAAGATCTCTGCCCTGATTTCGTTCACGTCAGGAGACTTTCCGTTCTTTAACAGGTTGACCGTCACGAGGCGCACCGGTGCGCCTCACTGAATGGGAAAATCAATAGGCCAGCATTGCCGTGGCGGTCAACGTGTTAAGCTCGCCATAGCTTGTTGAACTTCTTCCATGGTGATGGAGGAAGATAGGCTCCGAGTAGTGTACATAACAGTCCGCCGTAGATGGGTTTTAGTTCATCAAGGGGCTCCTTCCACCTTTTCAAATATTTCCGCCTTGGAAGTCTAGATCTTTCCGTTTCGGTCTTTCACGACCCAGAGAGAAAGTTACTTGTATTGCCGGAGCCTTCGAACGATTTGCTACGACACCTTGTAATCAGTACCGTAGTTGCGCTACAATTCTTTGCAGAATTTCGTCCATGCCTCCTGTTTCGCTTCAACCACGGCTCGAGCTGCAACTATTCGCGCCTCTCTGTAACAGGCATTCGTAGAGTTCGACCTACTGGACATATAACGCTCTACAAGCAGCCTTCTTGGCAGCAACGACCAGCCGTAATTCTGGCGCCCTGCAGAGAGTCCGCTTCGTGTTAACGCGTGCCACTCCAATAGGCTTTTCGCCACAACTGGTACAGCCGAAACGCCAGATTGAAATACAGGGTGATCAAAAAAAAAAAAAAAAAAAAAAAACTTCGGTTAACGCTTCACGGCGTAGTTTCCTGAGAGTTTGAAAATATTGCAATAACGTCACTATATGAATGCTCTATTCATTTAGCTTTCCACTGATATAAAAAGATTTAAGATTCAATTCGTCATTCCGATGCAGTTACGCACAGTGTAACAGAGGTAGCGCTTGAAACGTGCACTCACCTGTATCCTATAAGATGTGCTTCAGGTGACGTCCATTCCTTCGCTTAAGGCGAGTAGGTGACCTCACACATGCACTGATGTCATCGCGACACGGCGTCAACTTTTCTAGCGCCACCTCTTATACTCTTTATCTAACTGCATGAAAATCATACCACGAGTCTTTTTTCTGTTGATATTGGAAAGCTGAATGAATGTTCTATACGGAGGCGCTATTGCAATTTTAGTAAACTCTTGGGGGAACCAGTGCTGTGGAGTGATTAAGATAACCTTAGTTTTTCTTGGCCCAACTTGCAGATCTCATTCGGTCTCTATTTCAGTTATCTGATGAGGCAGTTGGGAGAAGGAAGCGTCTGCAAAGACGTTGAGCAACTTTCTGTCATTCCAACTGAGTGTAGCTTCTCCGAAATAGCCAATCACCCTACTCCACGTAGCTTGATCGTTCCAAACTCGCGCGTTGAAATTCCCCATCGGCAAGACGAGGTCGCCGTTGGGGATCCCTTTTAGGGCCCCATCTACCTCTTAGAAGAACGTGCCGTCGTCTGACTCCTTGGTACCCTTGCCTTTCCTCTTGGTCGATGCTAGGCTGACTATATCTAATCGACGTTTAACTAACTTCTTCCACGAGCGCTGGCTTCTTACCGTCGAGTGCTAGCCTGTTCCAAATCCTGATATATACAGGTCCGTGGCCTAAGTTCTTCACTTATTTCTTCTGGTCCTGGTCTGCCCTTAAGGCGTCGTGGCGAAAATAAGCTATGGCCGGTGGCAGGCCGACCGATAGGTCTGGATATCGCACGACGTGGTCCGACGCACCAGGGCATATTTTAATGTGCAGTTCAAAACCAAGCAAGAATTACATTTTGAAACAAAAATTTGACTTAAAAATGGGGCTAAAGCAAAATTTTATTCCCAAATTTTCGCACTCTGCACGGGGGGGAGGGGGGCAGGCAGGCACCTAGCGTCGTGCCAACCGCTCCTACAAAGGGGTTGTTACTGTACAATTCTGATTTTTTCTTGCAATATGCCTTGTGACACACCCAGTAACATCAGCTTTCCGGCCCCGGTAACCAACTTATAAATACAGTGTGACACAAAAGCCACTTGACAAATGAGAAAAAACCCCTTTGCCTTTATTTTATATCTTTATTTCTGAACTAGCGGAGATGTTCAAAGTGTTCTCCGTGAACCACAATGATGTTTAACATAGCCCCAGCGGAAGAAATCCGGGGGAGTGAAGTCAGGTGATCGAGGGGACCAAGACACAGGTCCACCCCGTCCAATCCACTGATTACCAAACAGGTTATTCAGTCAAGATAGCAGAGACTTAGGTCAAAACGGCCGAAAAGTTCATGACAGCGAATTGTAACGCGTATTTAGTGAACACCTACGAAGCAAAAACAAAGATTTTAGACATAGTTGTTTTTTTTTCTTCTCATTTGTCAAGCAACTTTTGTGTCACACTGTATAATCACTTTGAGAAGCACAATGAATATTGCAGTTCTGATTATCCTGGACGACGACTAATTAAGTACATAATTCCCGAGTCAAGTACGTCATGCAAGTTTTGGTTCGTTTTGGTCACCCTTAATTGAGACCCTTGTATCATGATAGGGCCTGGGATACTACGTCATCAGAATCACAGGGGTCCACCCTCTCGGCGTGAACACGCGAACCACAAAGGACTACCACTGATAACATGTATTCCATCTTATGATCCAAATTTTTCTTTACATTTTTTCCACTTTTCAAACTTTTCCATCTGGGCTCTGCCATTAAGTTGTGAAGGAGTAGTTCCTTCACTGAGAAAGGGATGCCTCTTCATCAGCTTGGCTCATCACTATTCCTTAATCATTAATGATGATTGCCATTACATGAGGCCCCTTTGGCACCAGACAAAAGCTGAGAAAGGGAGGCAGAAGGTGGGTAAAAGCCAATTCAAAAACACAAACAAAACATTGTATCTGATATGCAGCAAATACAAAACACATACCTCATGGACAGGAGGGGTGGGAGATGAGTCTTTCTTCCTGTTTCCTGCTTCATTATGGTGGAGGCAAGACTTCAAGTTATCAAGTTGATTCTTAGGCACATTCTCATACACTTTTACGGAGAGCCCTTCGACTGCTTCACCAAGTTCTGCTGACTTGGATAAAATGAGATTTCCATCACTGTCAAAATCAAAACTATCAAGATCCAAAGGTTTCTTGTGGCGGTTTCCTTCTTGTAAAACTTTGAGAGAATCCTGAAGTCGAAGGAGTTTCCTTAGCACTGGTCCTTCAAGAACTGAAAGAAGAACCTGAACATCATTGTGGACATCTACCCCACGCCCAGTTGCTTTCACAGAAGTCTCTATCTTCTTCAGCAATGTCACAGCAGCTAGGACATCGTCAGTCAGAGGCATTGCCAGGGTTCCAGATCACGTAAATCACAACCAAGGAACAAAATGAACTAAAAAAAATGGAGAAAGAAGTAAAAAATCAAGTGAAACAAGGGTATGTAAGCTAACAAAAATGAAGCACAACAAAAACAATGAAGAAGATAATGGACTCTGCTAGTACATGATGTTTAGACCCAGCATTTACAATTCAAGTTGAACATCAAAGTGGGATAGGGTAGTATTCAATTTCACATAAAATAGCCTAAAGTGAAAAGTGAATTAAATAAAGCAAAACAAAAAGATAATAAAAGGTAAAAAAGATAAAGAATATATATTTATGTTGATCATTAACCTCCTAGACCTGGGTGTCATGTACTTCCGCCAAATCCTACAAATTCAATTTATCTAGTTCTAAAAAAAATAAGATAGCAAGACACATAGACAAAAGTATATTCCTGGTTCAATTTTTTTGTGGAGGGCAGCGTATGACCACACCATCTATAATGACAACGATGAATCACGCAACTTTGCTAAAATTCACTTAACTTCGCACTGTGTCACACAAAATTTGCACTGAAAAAATGGGCAATTTAGTGGACCATCTGCCAGAGGAGAAAACAACAAAGAAATGGAAAAAAAAAAAAAATAAAAGAACTTGGAAAAAATAAATAAAATTGGATTTATTAAGTTGAACCAGGAATTGGCCAAAGGAATATAAGAAATATACCTAACACAGGGCTAAAGCAAATATCATTACTGTGCTGCCAAAAGTTGACTCTTCCTTCTTATGTAATTACACACTCAATAAGGTTTGCATCAATGTCTAGCAATATATGAAAGCTGTGATCAGCCAATCTAACCCATGAATGTAACAAATGATTACTCTAGACATAGGTATGATGGACCAATGCAATCAGCAGGATTCAATCAACTTTAACATGGGTGGTATGAGAGAGTTGAAGCTGTCACCTGATATACTGAACTTAGGCCAATCTACAGGATAAGTCTATACTTAGCATAAAGTATTGGCCACACCTTTAACACTTTATGTTCTGGGGATTTGAATGCACTATGGCTTATACCCATTATATGACGGATATGGGACTGAAAGTTTCAAGGCAATTTTATTTCTAGTCCCTACATTTTTTTAGGAGTTTCCACCCAACTGGCTCCTGGTAGTTTACAACCAGCAATTACTAGACTTAGAAAATAGTTCCTGAAATCTTCTCCGTATTATCCTCTCCTTCCAATATTTCTCAAATTAGTGACAACTGCCTCCAGTATAAATTCAACCTAGATGAACAGGCTCTACTCCATGCTTAGTATGTGAGCTCCCACCTCCCATGAAAGGACTAGGACTCCACCCCTGCAGGGATTGGGAGCATTTACAGCTATGGATCTTCAAGGCAATCTCTACCAGATTCTTTACAAATTTTCACTCTTCAGACAGATCTATATAGTAATCAAGATTCACTTAAGCATCCCTGATGCATGGTAACAAGTACGCCAGAGTTCTATGACTAGAGGGAAAAGAGGCGAGAAATCTGAAAGCTGTCACTGTTCCTGAATGTTGGGGAAGAGGATCCCCAAGTGTTAAGCATGGGGACATATGACTCCACTAGGCAAGGTAACAGTAATGGGAAGAGACACCAGCATGCATTGCAAACATGAGGGGGGTCTGTAGATGCAATATAGATGAGGATTTCTAAATCAAGATGAGAAAAGGAAGAAAACTATGAAAAATAAGTGGGAGGGACTTAACATCCATTCCAGTAATATCCCTTTCCTGGCCTGAGGGCATAATTTAAAAAGATAGCACATGCTGGAAGTACTAGAAGCAGGAAGTTGACATAATGAACTGTCTAACTTAGGCCTGAAACATGCCACTGGTTCCATATTGGGTTTATGGACATTATTTGGCTGAGTTGTGTCATGCAATATGGGAGGGCATGAGACAATGTGAGATGCTGACCAGCTCCCATTAGTGGATGCTGAATAGTCAGTGATTTAGCAGCCAGTCCTAGACATCTGAGTTTTTTTTAGAAACCCCAACTGTTGAGCCTAAGCCAATTGCACTCAATCTAAAGACACTCTCTGACATAAAGGTCTACTTCAGAGTAGACCTCTATCAGAGAGGGTTATGATACATATCAATTGAAAGTCCTTCAAGAATAGAATTTATGTATGTGGGTTTTATTATCATTATTAGTATGGGTGTGGAAGTAATGTAAAGATGTAACACTGGTTGGATAGACAGGCATGTCCTCATGAGCATGAGAGGGACACTAAGTAGGCACTCAGCCTTACTGCTCCCTTTGTTTTTTCATTTTCCATCTAACCGAAGGAAAATGCATTTCTCTCAGGGACCCTGTTTCCTTCAATTCTCCAAAGGGTGCCTCAATCGAGGGAAGTGGAATTTAAAATGCATAATCCTTCAAGTTATCCCTACCATAAAATGTACAGCTGGCTTTTTCTTCACTTTTTAATGTAATTTTCATGCACATGTGATATTGTGTGTTTCTCTACAAAGTTCACAAAAGAAAGACTGGAATGAATGATAATATATCTTACAATGATGATATGAAAGGCATGATACTACAAGCTAGACTACTATCTAGAACCCAGAACAATGGTTTATATAAATTAGAGCATGGTGCAGGAATGTGAAAATTGGATCTGTGGATGTTTCCTTTTATTACCATTGCCAGAGGTAGACCGTGAATTGAAGCAGGCTCCCAATGTTGTGTGTAAGGCTTGGAAGTGTCTGCTTCAACTGCCACCAGGTATTTTTGCTGTTCTGTATGTGGGACTGGGGGGTCCAAATCTGAGAACGATCATGATTTATATATATTTCTATCCCCCACTGAAATTATTTCTTCCCAACATGTTCTTCCATTTTCTTTAATGACAAAATTATGAGTGATTCACACTGAGAAGAGGCCATCCCTGATTGTAGAGGCTGGAGTACCCTCATTTGCAATCCATGATAGTCCACTGGGGTTGGCATGTGGTCCTCCATGATTTTCAGGACATTACGAGTCTTCTTTTTCTCAGGACATTCAGCCCATTTTTTACATTTATGATGAGTTATCAGGCGTAAGTGATGAACTTTTTGTTGACCAGGGTAGGATTCTATTAAAACCAGACATTACACAATGGGGGAGTCTGCTTTTGGCGAAAAGAATGATCATGGCCAATCCTAAAATGTGGGAAATGCAGTCAGCCTTTTGTTCCTGATGTGACTACACCTGCAGACTAGGTAATGAAGGTTATCTACAAGTATGAGTTATTGACATCCCTTTGCTGTATTTCAAAACTGTCTGTTTCAATCATGCAGTTTAGAATTTTTTGTATTATACAATATTTGTATTGAAACATGGGAAATGTCTCATGCAAGAACAGCAGCATACAGTATCAAATACTTACTCGGAACACTATTCTATGTACCTTTCAAATTCAGATACTTATTTGTGAAACCTTTTATTTCACCTAAATATTTATTTCCATGCTTGATAATGCACTTAACATTTCAAATAAATAATCAAAGACAATGCATCTATACAGAGGACATAACTGTTCCAATGATTAACCAGCATGGGTGTAAATGCAGATAAGCAGGCTTGTGTATCCAAGTTAGATTTCCTTGTTCCTTGAGGGAGACTTTGAAAATTTTCAAAGTCCAAAACTCATGCTCAAACATTTCTCAAGTTTGAGAAATGGTAAGAAAAAGGCTATATACTTAAGTTACATGCATGCCGCCTGGTTGTTGTCTTCGGAACTTTTCCCTAGCCTACCTTTTCCAAACCATGAGCCACTTGCTATTGCTTACTAGCCTACTGCTATGAAGCCAAAACGTTGCGTAGAAGGGGATGAGGACGAGGTCTCCATAATAACTAGGGTGTAGAGTATCAGAAGTGCCTCCTGACCTAGCCTATCCGCACCATCAACATTAAATCATAACGAAAATCGTTGACTTAGAACTTGCACCACTGAGAGAGTTGGGTGCCTGTGGGACTCCATTGCAGCTAGGGCACCTTCGATTTCATTCGATACATTCCATTGAGGTTGACACTATTCATAGTAGCGTCTGTCCGTCTATCCACGCTCAATAATTTTGCTGTCGAATAAAATTCCCACAGACCCAATGAAAAGCATCAATCGCAACTGAATTATAAGTAGAATTCCAGATCCCCTTGTACTCTTACTTCAACCAAGCATTTACTTCCAAATCCTCTGATCCTCCAATCAGCACTAGCAGCACCCAACCGCCTTCATTGATGACCATCTTCTGACTTTCACTTTTACTGCAGCTACATTTGTATAAAAGAGCAATTTCCCTCTATTCAAATATTCATACGTTTACGGAGTACAGAAAAAAAGAAGGAAGATCTGTTATTCTCCCGTGGAATAGGTGATTGTGTGCATGGTATTTTATATTTTNGCGGGGGGGGGGGGGGGGGGGGGGGGGGGGGGGGGGGGCAAAGGGGGCAATCTGCCCCGGGTCCCGCTTATCAAGGGGTCCCAAGGGGGCCTCCAAAGGGCCTCAAGAGGGCCTCCAAGGGGTATCCGATTTAGTTTTGCACCGAACCCCTGGAAACCTCTGGACTTGAAACTACTGCAACAGTGGCGTACCCAGGATATCGCCAATGGTGGAACTAAGCGGAACGGTGGGGGGGAGGGGGGGGGGGGCTGGTGGATGCATTTAGACCAAAGTTAGGAGGGCTTGAACCAAACTTGAGGGGGCATCGAAGCCCTTTGGGGCCGTTCACAAATTACATAACGTGATTTTTGAACTTTATTGGGCCCCCCTCCCCCCTGTAACACTCTGGTTTACCCACATTGAGAGATGAGTAAAATGTTTTAAAAAAAGAAAGAAAAGTTTTTTATTTCATTCGGTTCCTTCTTCAAGGAAATAACTTTCTTTTGTTTATGTTCATTTTGATTTATGATCACCCATTTGAGATTTAAAAAAATAGTAAAAGGAGACGGGGAAATGTTTGGTAGAATGGTAGAAATAGAGATCGCGATGCAGAGAGACGAACGAGGGCAACGTCCAAAGGGTAAATGAGTCTGTTTGGCCTGTCTTTACAGGTCCAGGTATGAAACTGCGACTTAGCAAGTTTTGCAACAGGGGAGAGGGAAGTCAACAGACGTTCCCACGCTCTCAATGCCCACTCCACTGTTAGTAAGGGTAGTGGGTGCGGGTGGGCAGTAGGATTGGCTCTTGTGTCGTGTGAGTGATTTGTTACTAAACAAATAACCTTCTAAATAAGAAATTCCAGTCGCATAATTTATTTTTTTTTATGAAAAAAACCTGTTACGTCACATTCGTGCAACCCTCCCCCCTCCCCCCCCGTAACAAATCGTAACACTTTGTCTGATCCCCCCCTCCCCACTTGCGTTACGCAATTTGTGAACGGCCCCTTTCCCCTTTGCAAACGAAAGATCACTGGCCCAGATAAGTTCAGTATGAGGTTCTCAAAAAGATAGCCAAAACTATCACCCTTCCCTTAACCCAGCAGTTCTCAAACTGGGGGCGCGACAGGTCAGGAATTTTAGTTTTTATTTATTTAATGCAATTTGTTATTTCAAAAACTACCCAGCAAGCAATTTGAAACACATAACGTTGAATCAACATTGAATGAATGTTCGGGACGTTGATGCAACGTTGGCCTTATTTGCTGGATATGTGTGACTTTTTTTTTTTTACTGAAATATGTTCACGTTCCTTCTCAGCCTTGTGAAGACGGTCAAGAGAAACAGATTTGAGCAGAGTAACGAAACGTAAAACGCCCTTTTTATCTGAAATGCCAAACTGGGATCTTTCTGGCTCTTTCTCCAAGAGTAGGTATACCAAGACTAAATGATGGCAATCCCTGAGCACAGGCTTTCAAATTCGATTTTTTTTTCCCTAACGGGTGTTCATTGCTGTCGCCAATCTTTCACGATCCGAATCAAGACGTCAGATGGATCGAGTGTAGGACAAAATGGCCCCGGACAAAATGGTCCCGGACAAAATGGCCCCGGACAAAATGGCCCCGGACATAATGGTCCCAAATGCAATGTAGGACATAATGGCCCCACACACCAGAAAACCAGCTTCTTTGAATATAGAGGGAAAAATTAATCCTTATTCAAAGAAGCTGGTTTTCTGGTGTGTGGGGCCATTATGTCCTACATTGCATTTGGGACCATTTTGTCCGGGGCCGTTTTGTCCGGGGTCATTTTGTCCGGTTCCCGATGGATCGTGTGTCTCTTAGGCCTATAACTTGAATGCTCAGGTAGTGTTGGTGCTCCGGTTATTGCAACTTATCCATTCCCATCGGTAGATGGGAGGGGATAAGTTGCAATAACCAGGAAGGAAATTCATCACCTACCTAGCTATCCAATCCTGGACTTCTATTTATGCAATTAGAGGCATTGCAATAGTTCAGGAAGGAGTATTTTGACAATGCTATATGTGTCCTAATCCAATGCTGAGAGCATTGAGAACATATTAAAAGGAAGGGTCTCTTGAGCGAAGCGGTCTTTTGTTATAAGTTGATTGATGAGGACTTTTATAAATTGCCCTATATCCGATGAGCAGCACAAAAATAATGATTTTGAAATTTGACATGGAGCGCATCCAATTGATCTGAACATTATTGGGTTCAGAAGCAGGGCTAAGGAAGCATTAACGTAATTTCTCAATTTGGCCCTACCAGAGAAGTGTAGAAGGGAAGAAGTAGGCAAGCAGAGAAGTTCATCCGAAGCTCCAACCTAGGGGGGTGACCAGAGATGAAGCTTGTCCGAAGCTGAGGCTGAGATTCTAAACTCTGATTCTGACTCTAGGCAGAGATGAGAACACTAAAGCTTCGGGGGTTACGAACTTATTTTCCATCGTGGGCAAAGCTGTTTCCCGAGAACAAGAGAGAGGCTTACACGCTTCCTTGGTTTGCGAGGGTGAGAACGTATGGGGAAGTGCCATTTGTGTGAAAGAAAGAAACCGATGTTGCTCTGGTTGTGCAGGGAATGTTTATTGGAAGAATCTGGCAACAGCCATGATGGCAGCCCAAGTCTCTTCCCCGGTGGGAATGATCTGCTCGGGAGGAAGAAGAAAGCCAAAAGTGCCAGTATCCCTCAGCTCGATCGTGTAGGCATACTTGATTCCTGCCGCTCCCTTCGCCCAGTCATCAGACGGTCCAGGCGCGAAATCTGCACCATCCATGTTACATCATGCCGTTAGTCACTCATGATCAACGCGCATCACACTCGTTTGAGGCCGATAATAACTGCGGGGCCATTTCATTCTCAGGCTGAAACACATCATGTCTTAAATTGCCTACACTGTAAAAAAAAAAGGTGCGAGAAGGGTGCGTGGAGGGTGTGCCTGCAGAGGGTCGAGATGCACACCCTCATGGTACACATGTTGATGCTCACGGTACCGATTCGCACCCTTAGGTTCCCTATGGTCCCTGCNGGAGAGGAAAATCCAAGCAGAGTATCTCCCTGTCGACACGTTACGAGACGTGTATGAATCGGCACTGACATGGAGGAAGCTAGCAGAATATACAAGAAAGGCGCTGGAGCGAAGAGAAGCCCTCATAGATAGATAAATTTGACTGACTATGGCTGTATACATGAAGCCTTCAAATAAATTCTTCTTCTTCTTCTTCTTCAAAATGCTCTACAATCCCGAAGTCGATAATTCCATCCAGATCCAGGAGAGATCCAGTTCGTCAAGATTTTTGGATGAAAATCATCGTTTATAAGCTTTCCGTCCGTCCGAACGTGGACGAGGTCCTCCAGTACTACGAGAAAAAGGGATTCGTGGATCTCTTCCCTCACGTTCTTCCCTGTGTATACCGGAATCTATATAAGTACGACTATTTCGCCATCTTCGACACAGACGACCTGCTGGTTCCGAAATCTCGTCCCACGTGGGATGCTCTCCTATCGGACGTCCTCGTCAATGGAACTGGGCGACGGGGCGCCTACGTCTCTTATGTCGTGTTCGTGGACGATCCTCCCGTAGATGTGGATCTCGAGTCTAATGGGTTCCCCCCCCCCCCCTACTTGCACATGCTGAGTCATGTGGAGCGCATGGTGACGTATCACCCGCGGAATGTCATCCCCATGAGCATCTACTGTACGTCCCCAATCGACTCATCGATGTGGAAAACCACTTCCCAGCCACGTGTCTGAAGGAGGAGTGCTCCTTATATTCCGTGGAGGCTAAGGATGCTCAATACCACCACTACAAGTTTCGGCGTGACACTCTGAAGAAGGATTGTATAGCTCGAAACTCCGTGTTCAAGGAGAGCGTGAATTTCTCCACCGATTTTACCTTGCAAGAGCTGGAATAGGAGGGTTTTCACTCCTTCGCGAAGATTAACGCTAACACGTATCGTGCGAGAAATGCATGACTTCAATTCTTTTTTTTTTAAATGTTTTTTAAATCTCTGGTTTCCCTTTGGGGAGTCAATATTCGGATGCCACATTTTTTTCTCTTGATACGATCTATTCTAAGAGCCTTGCCCTCATAACATCCTTGAAGAAGCGGTAAAAAAAAAAGCTCTGTTTTCATCGATAGGCACTTGATCCCCATTCCTGATGGATCATTCAGAGAAATTTTAATATCTCCATTGAAGGAGAAAAACAAATTAAAAATTGAATGAAGTCCTCAATGGTTCTCGCGTCCACGTCGCGAGGATGGACCCCAGTGATCTCAGATCCAACCAATTTATAGGGGCTTCCGTCGAGTGTGACCAAGACGAACCAAATCCAGCATGATGAGTTCGGCTGGGGTATTCCATACCCGCTCAGTCGTCGCCCAGGATAATCAGGACTGCGATAGTGACTGTGCGCCCAGGGTGACTATTGATAAGTTGGCTACTGTGGCCGGGCAATCCAATGTCCCTGGGTGCGTCGGACCCCTTCATGTTACATCCAGACCTATCGGTCGGCTTGCCACCGGCTATAGCCTTCTTTCGGCACGATGCCCCAAGGGCAGACCAGGAGCGGAATCGAACTGTAAACGACCTTGGCAACGGACTCCGAGCATCAGGACTTGGAAAGTGCTAACACTCTGCAGTAAGGAGCCTGAACTCGTTTAGGAGACTATAGTCTCCTAAACGAGTTCAGGCTCCTTGTATTCTTCCATGAACCCGTCTCTGGGATTATCTGCGTAGAGAAGGTACGCATTCTTCTCTTCGAAAATCCTGACTGTGACCTTCTTTAAGGCACTGGGCAGAAATACTATTGATCTATTAACCTCACATCGTTTTAACCAAAGGACATGAAGAAATGAGAAAGTTTCCCACTTGTAAGTGATATTTTTTATTTTCTGCAGGAACCGGTGTGTGGGAGCCCAGTCCTCTAGATGCCAAGACTTGTACCAAAGGAGAAAATCTCAATCAAGATTGATGGGACCGAAGTACTCTCCACACCGAACGTCATTGAGGCTATCAGTTGTTTCTGGGCCTCACACTATGCATTCAATTAAAAATATTCCAACAAAAAAGTGTTTGAACTTATTGTAGTGCAAACTGGACTTACGAGACCCATCCTTGTGAAAAGTGCGTGAAAACTACTCTCACTTCCCTTGCCAGCAGCTGAACTACCTCCATTCCAATTTCAATATGTGATGCACAGATGTCAAAATATGTTTTTCTTTGATGTATAATACATACATTATGCATTTAATATTGCGCTTTATTCCCTGTGAAATAAAAATTGGTGTGAAGGGTTTCCAATGCATAATGTCGTACTAGGTATATGGCAACATAAGAGGTATGGGTCACGTGGATGACCAGAGGCCAATGAGAATCCCGTAACGAGACACTGGAATTCACCAATAGACCCAATGACAAAACTACCGGAAGACCGTATAGGATGCAGAACAAGGTTGTCAAATCAGCCAAGCAGATCAACAGGTACACCCACTGGGGTGCAGGAGTAATGTCTCGGGGAGTATTTAAAGGTTAAAATGTCCGGAGTTAGGGTGCAAGTCACAACCCAGCAGGGTGTGCCTGCAATGCCTTAGGATACAAAACAAGGTTGCCATGTCAACCAAGCAGACTAACATGTGTACCTACTAGGGTGCGGGAGCAATGCCTCCGGTAAAATTAGGGGGTGAGAATGGTTGCGATTAGGGTTCACATGGGGGCCAAATGCTGTTGCATGTGAACCCATGAGTAGGGGTGCCCATGCTCACCCTTCGTGAAGGGTTCCCATGTGAACCCTAGAGGCTTCTGTCCCAGGACAACACAGGCACACCTTTGAAGGTGTACATACGCACCTTTAAGCACCTTTTTTTTTTTTTTTTTACAGTGTAGTGACTTTCTTTGAGATGCTGTAAATCATGAAGATGAGACACATTCACGTCTCACGCATCTTCTATTGGTTGAATACGATATATGGGAATCACACATTCGTCAAGACTGATTGGGAGAGGTCATCTCTCGATACAGAGGCGCCGAGCGGTAGGCGCGAGTTCCATTCGATATTGTAAAAGTGAGCTGTTGTCGAAAATTGACCGATACCGAGAAGTTCATTCGTCGCAGCCCTTTCCAATGCCAAATGTTCATATTCTTTCACTTTAAAGAAATGTCAAGTCAGTAAGGTTTCAAACCTCTGGCAATAAACATTGGCTATACACCTTTCTATAAGCAACGAATGAAGCAGCAGTGAAATCTCATGCTGTATTTTACGGCGTGTGTCAGTACGTGTTCATTGGTGTTCTGACACTCGGCACGAATCGAAGGTTGAACATAGCAAACGACATCTTCCAATATTCTACACATTTTTAAACCCACTTTTGGAAGGTTTGTAATTCACTTGAAGAGCATTTCCATGTTTTCCATAACGGAAAGTGAACAGCTTTGCGAATTTGGAAGTCGAAGTTCGGGACGTAAGGCACGTGGAAAATGGGGGATAGCAGGCTCATCGCATGAAAGAATCACTTTTGGAACCCTGTATCTGGAATCTGGAGTTTCTTATTTTCCGTCATTCCAAAGAGATAGCGAGAGAGAAAGCGAAAATGTAGATAATTGATGGTTGAAGTTTGTGCAGGAATTAGGATATCGGCTCATTGGATATCGAATTAGGCATTCAAGAAATGGTGTTTTGTTGCCAATCCACAATGGATCGACAACGAAACACCATTTCTGAATATAATGAAATTTTTTTGGCCAAATTCCTTATTCGGTGTTGCTCGCAATTATCGCAATTATCACATGCCCCTGTTCCCTGCAAAAAAGGGAGCATAAAGCAGTAAACGTACAGAGAATTTCGGTCGTGGCACCGAACTCATACTCCGTTCCATGGACTTCAGTCAGGGCAGCTATGGCTATTTCACCCAACTCCCTCTGTTGACGAACCATAAAATGCTCCATGATAGAGTATCCGAAAAGAAACATGAAGAAATCTATGTCAAGTGAAACAGACGAGGTCGTCGTAGTCGACGGGGAGTTCCAATGTCCAGCTCCAAGGTGAAAGCCACATTTGTGCATAGGAATGAATGGTGAGGAAAGCCTTGAATGACCCATCTGCATTCTCTGGAATCAGGAACGTTTCGACTGCTGCCGTTTCGGATTCAGAGAATGGTTCCGGGCCGGCGAAGATGTCCGAACAAGGGTTATCGCTTGCTCCTGGGGCGTCTGAGTTCCAAAAGAAAAATATTAACTCTTTGCCGGAAAAATCAGCCTGAATAGTCTTCCTAGACATTTTCAGTGTTTCCCAAAGTAGAAACCATTCTTTTTTGCGGAACTTTACCCTTATATTTATGGTATTCAAGGAAACATTGCATGAAATAATGTTCACAATTAGTCAATTGCATGACTTGCTTCCGTTTCACGATGCACAGTTCTCTTCATATTTCATGTATACGGTAATTCGAAAGAAAATCGGGAGGGGAGGGGGGGGGGGGGGTATACATACCCATCCAGTGATAGTCGAAGTTCCTATTGGGATCCGTCCCGATGCATCCACTTGGATCGCCATAGTCCGATCGGGTCTTTCTCCACATTCTCACCTACATCAGTACAAAATAACGCATTACTCATCGCCATCCTGTCTTTCCATGACATTGAATGAACTTGTCTCTGGATCGATTCGCTGCTGAGGATTTTCTCAGCTATCTCCATCGCCAAGTGGTAGTGTTTTTCATTCGTTCCAGTTATGGAGGAGTTTTAGTCTTAACAAAAAAAAGATATAATGCGAAAATATTATATTTATGTCGCATAACGTCTCCCTTTCCTCAACCTCATGCAGTGCTAACGTGTGCATTTTTAGGAGGTGGACCGAATGCGAAGGAAACCGATTGTCTCCACTCCTTCCTCTTCAGGGTTCACTTTATTCCCAAAAAAAACATTAACCCCAGCATGCTCCTGGTATGAATGGAGCAGACGAGGGGGACGCACTTCCCCATTCCCTCGCCCCTAGGCCACATTTCGCATTGTCGTTTCCATCGCCTCCTTCGAAACTTGTTATGCTGCCTCAAACCCTCATGTTGGTGTTCGAAACCATCTAAAAATATCATGCTAATGTTGTGCATCTCCCTTTCATAGTTCTTGAGAGATGGTATTTGATGCATGCAACTCAAGTTTGACCGAAAAGAACACGATGATCCGAAAATATTAAACCGGCGGATATCTNGAATATGAGGATAACAAGTGATGATGTGTCCGTGTTCATTGATTCCTATAATGAGACAATGCGAGACATTTGGCAAGGTACTAGACATTCCTGTGCAGGACTATTCCAGGGAAAGGGAGAAGGGCACTTTTGTGTACTGTGAGAAAGCGAGACTTACGTCTCCATCTCGTGGCAAGGAGGACAACTTTACAATTCTCTAAAACTCCTAAGTCCATGTTGTATCAGAATGTTGTCGCTACGTTGTCGATGTCAAGAGTGTCAACATTCTCTCAATGTTGATAGCTAATGTTGCAATGCCATTCGTAGAAGTGTCGCAGCAACATTCCAAGTGAAAACATTGAAGTAATGTTTTCTCAATGTTGTACAGCAACTTGCAACATAGAGCAACATAGACAACATTTCTGAAACGTTTCATCAACATGCTGTGTTACTTGGGACGTCACTGGTCTACCCCATGGCAGTACCCACAAGGCGCCACTGAGCGGTAGGTGCTAAAAGTCATGCTGAGACATGCTTTTGACAGGAAATGAGGGAAGAAGTGAGTCTAGCCTGTTAGAAGATATTACTTATGGACGACCTCTCAACTCGAATGGAAGTTGTAAATTCATTCTCTTTCCTCCAAACGCTGCTTGCCTCTTTCATCCCTAACAGATATCCGCCGGTTTAATATTTTCGGATCATCGTGTTCTTTTCGGTCAAACTTGAGTTGCATGCATCAAATACCATCTCTCAAGAACTATGAAAGGGAGATGCACAACATTAGCATGATATTTTTAGATGGTTTCGAACACCAACATGAGGGTTTGAGGCAGCATAACAAGTTTCGAAGGAGGCGATGGAAACGACAATGCGAAATGTGGCCTAGGGGCGAGGGAATGGGGAAGTGCGTCCCCCTCGTCTGCTCCATTCATACCAGGAGCATGCTGGGGTTAATGTTTTTTTTGGGAATAAAGTGAACCCTGAAGAGGAAGGAGTGGAGACAATCGGTTTCCTTCGCATTCGGTCCACCTCCTAAAAATGCACACGTTAGCACTGCATGAGGTTGAGGAAAGGGAGACGTTATGCGACATAAATATAATATTTTCGCATTATATCTTTTTTTTGTTAAGACTAAAACTCCTCCATAACTGGAACGAATGAAAAACACTACCACTTGGCGATGGAGATAGCTGAGAAAATCCTCAGCAGCGAGGAATTGTGGAAGGAAATTACAAGAAACATCAGGTGGAAATGACTCGAATATTACATTTGTGAGTTCCCTTCTCTATTTGCACATCCAATCCTGGAGAAAATGACCAGACGCGAGAAGAATATACTGTTCGTATAGACGATGACTGATGTAAGAGGGGAGAGAATGAACTGAGAAGCCAAACTCACGTTAGTGTGCGTATATTCGTATCCATCGGGATTGTGGGACGGGAAGATGTACCAATCGAAAGTATCGACGATATCCTTGTTTGCATCGTAGTTCTCCACCAGCTCGCGGATGATGTAAGTGGCCGTGGCTGGAGAAATCCACTCTCGCGCGTGGATTCCTGAAGGGAAATCATACTTGGAATGTGATTCTCAAACGATCGTTGCATGCACGGAACGATGGAAGCGGTCGTGTATGAAATGGATCCGTGAGCTGAACCCCGAACCCTGAGAGAGGTCACACTCGCACCTGCATCGATCCAGATCTTCTGAGTCGCCACCCCGCTGGATATCTTGATCATTTTCAGATCCCTCCCTTCGAAACTCTCTCCGATGCTGAAGACGGTGACGAGATCGGGATAGGTAACAGCAAGCTCGTCCAGATAATCATGAATCTGTTTTAATTGATGGCATTCGAAGAACGTCAACGCAGGCATTCCATCGATTGGGAGAGGAATGGAATAGAAAGGAATCGGCGGGTAAAAATTAACTGAAATATTTTTTCTTGTGTCACCGCTCCTTTCGTACCTGTAGCTTGGTACGTCCTATTTTATAAGTCAAGAACCTCAATTATAGCCATTATTTTCGTGCGTGAAACATTTGCGGTAAGGCTTCGGGAAAAAGAAAAGTTCTTGAGGCCGACTTCCCAGCCATATGACACGTCGGACTCGGAACGTATTTCAGGAAGCCACAGTCTCCTTTGCAGTGGACGATAATAGATCATCCATCTCTTCTACAATCCTCTGCACTCTCTCATGAAAATCTCTCCACGTTTCATTTATCCTACGGTTTCAAGAGCGATAGCAAAGTATCGATGGGCTCTCGAACGGTGCAAATTTTCCATCCTCCACATGAACCTTTGCAGGACCAGTGACGGGAGAAAAGAACCTTCCAGTTAGTTTTACTCGACCGATTGGTCACGCGAGCTTACGTCACTCAATCGATGGTAGGAATCCCATGACATGGCTCGGGGGCTTCCGTCCTCCGGCATACCCGCTCTCTGGAGATCCACGAGCCTGAAGGAAACGAACGAGGTGATTCCCTCCGTGTCGTCGGAAAGGGAGCCGACACCGAGATGAACGACTCACTTTTGAACGTCGGGGATCATGGTGTCGTGGGCGATCGGGTGCGAAGAGAGGAGACGTTGCAATTCGTTCATCATGCTCGGTGGAACCATGACATCTGTTGTCGGTCGACGGATTTCCGTCCAGAAATCCAGTCGATTGTCCTTTCGCAGTTCGGCCAGGAAAGCCAAGTCTTCGTGGGTTTCCGGGTAGAAACGAAGCACTTCGTACCTGGATTTGCGAGAGAAGAATGATCGTATAGAGGTAGATATTCATATTTGGACGTAAAGAAACTCCCAGCGAATTCCTCCCCCCTTTTCTCCTGATGAAGCCCTCTAATTCAGGAAACCTCGCCAGCGTTATTTCTCGCATGGGGGTTCTTTATCAAATGAAGTTGTGGACATTATTGTAGAGAAATGAGTTTAAATCTGGCTTCAAATCGAGCTATTATCCAGTTAATGCTATTGATATTGGTGATCGCATCGATGCAAGCCTTGCGTGGTGCACGATTGGGTTCTTTTTTTTCATTCGATCGACTCAGTCATCAATATGAACCCTCCCTTTACGCGATCGTTTTTCATATGGTCAAGTGATCTTGGCTTTGCGCATCCTTTCGCGTGCTTGAAAATCCATCGGAAGACAACTTGGATTAGATAATTGGATTGAATCATGGATTGCCTTGGCCGATGATTTCGACTTCCGTCGAAAGCATATTTCGCTAAGACAACGCTTTTCTCTTGCACTTTCGACCCCATCGACAAGTTTCATCACTTTCTAGGGGGCAAAACTCTGGAGCCCATTAGCGTGGTTTGAGTAGTAAGCCGTGATGAAAGACTCAGCATTCCACTCGATTATGCACTGGAAATTATTTTCGGCCACGAATATGAACGACGACTAATTTCAGTACACGACGAATGTTTCTCGCAACTGATCATAAGACCAATTGGCAACGATACGTCGGCGATCAAGTGTGCCGCAACGAATCGTCGTAGTACCGTTTCCTCCTTTTTGGCTTTTCACCTAGTCTCTATCAGGAGAAGATAGTACAGAGTGGGCCCTAAATATTCGTACCATTTGCGACTTTTCCATTTCTGTATGCCTAAAAGCAGCAAATAAAAAAAGGTCTTGTATCTCAATGTGTCTTTTGTGGTCAACGTTGGCCGTTTTGACATGAATCCTTCTCCTCCTAGAAATGGCTTGAGGTTCAAAATATTGTCTGGCTGACCATGCGGCAGAAATGATTAAAATATGCGAGTGACCCCCATACAGCTCTGACCGTAACCAAACCGATTACTGAATGCGAAGTCTGCTGGACTGGCTCATAAAGAAAATCCAGCGACCCAAACCAGTCAAGGTTCGTACCAAAGGAGGAGTAAAACCTTATCCAACCGGTGCGATCGTCTGACAAATTCAAAGATTCCAGGTTGCCGTCAAGAAGAACGGAGACACGTCGAACATATTTTGTGAATAGTTACTGGGAGTCCTTGTGTCTTGTCGAGATTCAGTCGATTCCATCAGAAGTTATTAGTACAGGGAATGCAAGACTTGGATTTGGTGTGAATATTTATGGTCCACCCTGTACGAGTGAGATTAATGAACCTCTCCGGGGTTACCAATATTTGCAGATGCCATCATGTGATGTTAACCCGCTTCGTCTTCGATATCGTGATTTCACGTGAATGTTTACTGTGTTGTAGCCGTTCTTTCTGAAGGAGTCATCAAACTTGTTCGGGGCCATCGCTATGAGGCACCCGAAAATCGTACGTGCCGGAATCGCTCTGCATAAGCTGTTTGTGATATTTTCTTTTGTTTCTCAAACGGAAGCGGAAGCGAGGCTTACCTCTCCCTATCTCCCCGACTGATGCGATCGGAAAGAGAAACCGCATTTTGCGAAGATACAGTCACTCACCCATCGTATCGTTGTTGTTCTGCGGCAACAAATGCCACCAGCAGAAGGAGACAGTATTTCTTCATGACTTGCAGGGAACGACCGCCTGACGTGGACTGGATCCAGGCGTCCAAGACTTCCTTTCCTCACGCACAAAATCTATGATTGTGGAGGGGGAAATCCGACTTCAGCAGCGGCGGATTCAGTGGTTATGGGAATATGAGCGGGGGGGGGGGGATGTCTACTGCTCTCCCTATTACTTATATTGTATGTATGCTTCTCTTTTTTCTTGCCGAAGTGGACATTCACAATGTGTCGAACTTATTAAAGATTAATATTTTCTCTTGGCCGTACCTTATTTTATCGAAACCACTTTCACTCGTTTAGAACTATCCATCCCTCCTCGACCGCTTAGTATCCCCTTTACTAACTAGTCTGGCCTCGATTTCTCCTTCCGCATGTAAAAAATGTGGATCCGCCTCTGTACTGCAGACGTTGCGCAATGGAAAGTTCGAACGACACCGTTCGGGTGTGAATTCGAACACCTGTCTTTTTTAGGTCCTCTTCATATCTTTCGAGATGACGAAATTTTCCTCCCGGAAAGGAATCCCAACCATGACCTGCCATGGGTAAAGGAGAGGACTTTCCTCCGTACCAAATGCGTTTCGATGATACTCCTCTGACTCGCATGGGAATCCTCAAGTAGAAGTCTATGCTCATCTCTCAAAGGGGGCAACATTTTTTATACGTGTATTTGGCCATCATTCCCACACTCCGGAATGCTTATTTCGATTCGATTCCATCTGTTGCATTTTGCAATAATGAAAATATATACTGGGTGGGACAGAACCCTTTTCTTCCTTCCTGTACAACATGAAAAAGACTTTGGAAAAAACAATCGAGCGTTGTATTCCTGAATAAAAATGAAACGCATATGATCGACTCAATAACCTATGCGACCACCATCTGCAAGACGAACAGCCTACAGTTGACGAGAGTAGGATTCTAGTTGTTCTCGAATAAAATCTGTTTGATTCCCCTCGCCATGGGTGAGGTTTCTCTGGAGGACTTGAGGGGCATCTCGAGCCTCGCGAAATGCGATACATTTAATCATACCCCGACTCTCTGCTTTTCGCAGTCGTAATTACCAGCCATTTTGATATATTTATCTGAAAATGATCAGGAACAATTCCGAATGAATCAGGCTTTCAGATCTTCCATAACATAACAGCTAAAACGCTCTGGGTTGAAGGGGGGAGAAAATGTTCTGTCCCACCCTGTATAACAAAGACGATCAGAGACTGACAGTGAGTTAGTGAGTGAGTGACTGACGCCAATTCTAATTTTGTTCTAGAAATGATAGAAACCTGAAACTTGGTGCACAAGTAGCTCTTGGGTTGCTGAAGGAAAAATCCCAATTGTTGCCAATAAAGAACACTCCCCGGTGCGCTGAATCTAACAGCCTCTCATTTATTCAGATCGATCACGTAGCTTTGGCTTTAGGGCGGTCTTTGTGTTTCGAAAATGAAGTACTTTTTTAATGATTCAATATGGGCATGGTCTTTCGAGACTCCGAAATGGCGCTCCCACCAAGCGAGACGAGTCCCAGAGTACCTGATACCTCGAAATCGGTCCAACGATTCTTCCCCTAGGTCCTTCAGCGCAGTTAACAAATTAAGTTCTTTTTAATATCCTCAGAACGAGATGAAAATTGCGATCCCTAAAAGGCAGAACCGCCTGAGCAAGACGATTCCATTAGTACCTCAATTACATAGAGTTTAGTAATTTTTCGCTCTCGGTCGGTCTACCTGTTTGACCACCAGAGAAAGATTCCCAAGGACGTACTTGAAGTAGGGTACGGGATCGTCCCGCATTTCGAGTTTCTCTCCTGCATCCGCAAAAAGCAAGAGATATGCCTAGCAAAAGGAGGAAAAGTAAAGAAAAATGCAGATGTTTCTGATTTTACCACAAATCACCCAATTTCTCTACATGACAATTTTCAGGGAGTCCCGTCCCATAATATTCAAAGCAGACATAACACACGAAGTTGGAACTCCAAGGTATCAGAAGGAGGAGGGGGGAAGGGGAAGGGGGAGGGGCTGGGGATGATTCCCGTCTTATAAAGGAGTCCCAATTTCCCTTTCTAACATTCCCCTAGCAATTTTCATTGAGTTCTGACATAGAATTCTATAGGGACGACGTTCAAATGTTAAACAACTCCGCTTTGAATAAATCGCCCATGTGCAAATTTTCCGCGAGTTCCGCCCCGTAATTCCGTAACTTCGCCGTAAGGACGTGTCTCAAGTGAGACACGTCCTTCGAATTTCTCACGCCCGCGTATCGGATGAAGAACAGATGATATCCGATCGGCCCAATCCGATCCACGGGTCGGGCTCGCAAGGTTCGGTCGACGATCGAGTCTCGGGTCGGGTGCGGGCCATGATTCCATTCGAACCGGTCGGGTAGGGATGGGAAAAGTTGACTCGTGGAGGTCTCTGGCTGACATAGACAGACAGGAGGACAAACGTCGGTTATTATTACATGGATAAATAGCGCTTTGCAAAAGGTGTAACACCTTGCTTCAATGGAATTTTTAATATAAAAATTGGACGATGTAATAATTTTGTCTGACGCGGTTTACTCCATCAGGGAGAATTCTCCCCGGCCGGAAATGCTAGATTTGGGGGTCTATTGCATTCTAAATCTTGAGCAGTCGAGAAGCAGCGAACAGAACCGACCCTCCATCGCCCTGTCAAGAGTCTTCATGTAACGTATGCTGCATCAAAGAAGTCGGAAAGAGCTTTCCAGAAATACGGAAATTGCAGAATTCCGAGCAACAAAATGGGATCGAATGGACAAAGTCCATTCGAGAGGCTCCTGGCATTGCTCAGTTTCTTCGTTATGGTGTATGTTCTAATCATTGCAAAAAGCAACTGACGGAATCGAATAGGAATAAGCATTCCGGAGAGTTGGAATGACGAACTAATATGAAATGTTTAAAAATTTGCCACCCTCGAATAATTAGGAGAAAGATAGCCATTGATTCCTACTCGAGCGCGTCAAAGGAGTGTGATCAGAATCCGTTGGAAAGAAGGAAAGTCCTCTCGTTTACCCACGACAGGCCATGGCTGGATCTTCCTCTTCGGAGCGAAAATTTCGTCATCTCGGAAGACACGAAGAGGAACCGAGGAAGACAGGTGATGGAATTCACATACGAACAACGTCGTGAGTACTTTCGATTGCGAAACGTCTACCGTCAAGGGGCGGATCTACAGTACATTTTGTACACGTAGAAGGAAGAACCGGGATCAGACAGAAATAACAAAAAAGGGTAGGCTGAAGGGAGTGAAGGGGATTGGGATGAGATTAAACAAGGTCGATGACAACCTCTAATAACTTTTAACGTATCGCGAATGTCCGTTGAAGTTTAGCAAGCGATGAAAACTTGCGTCCAAGTCATAGGAGGAAAGATAGTTCCCCCCCCCCCCCTCCTTCCTGACTTCGCCGCTACTGAAGTCGGACTTCCCCATCCACCGATACAGATGCTGCTTTGTGTATGAGGAGAGGAGCATTTGGGTTCTTCGATCCAGTGCGTGTCCGTCGGCCGTCCACTTCAAGACATGAAGAGCTTGGGTCTCCTCCTGTTGGCGACGATTGTCGCCGCAGAACAACGATACGATGGGTGAGTGAAGATTTCTTCATCGAATGCGGCTTACTTCTCTTCCTGATTGCATCAGCTAAAAGAGGACAGAACGGGGAGAAAGCTACTCGTCCATTTTCCTTCATCGAAAACAAGGAAAAATCCCAACTTCAGACATTGCTAATATAGACCGATTCCATTACTAAAATTATATGGTTCCGTAAACATGCACGTCAAGTCACCGTGACGAAATTGAAATCGAAGAAAGACTACAAAAAAAGACATCTCCAATCCTTGGTAAAACTTAAACGGTTGGCTAATCTCACCGACAGTCTTCTCCTGAGAGAACCGTGGGAAGAAGTCATACAAACAGAAAGGAACTGGGGATTTGAGGTCTCCACCACATTATGGTTAACTCGAGGTATAAAGAATCCTCATGAACGGGAAGACGCTGCCAAGATTTCTTGGATTTGCGTGCTAATGAATGCAATCGAAATAAATATTCTCTAATTCCTCTCAAATTAGAACAGTGGGGGAATAATCGCAAGGAATTTCCTTACGTCCGGAGTTTGAACATCTACCTCTATGCGATCATTCTTCTCTCGCAAATCCAGGTACGAAGTGCTTCGTTTCTACCCGGAAACCCACGAAGACTTGGCTTTCCTGGCCGAACTGCGAAAGGACAATCGACTGGATTTCTGGACGGAAATCCGTCGACCGACGACAGATGTCATGGTTCCACCGAGCATGATGAACGAATTGCAACGTCTCCTCTCTTCGCACCCGATCGCCCACGACACCATGATCCCCGACGTTCAAAAGTGAGTCGTTCGTCTCGGTGTCGGCTCCCTTTCCGACGACACGGAGGGAATCACCTCGTTCGTTTCCTTCAGGCTCGTGGATCTCCAGAGAGCGGGTATGCCGGAGGACGGAAGCCCCCGAGCCATGTCATGGGATTCCTATCATCGATTGAGTGACGTAAGCTCGCGTGATCATTCGGTCGAGTAAAACTAACTGGAAGGTTGAAAAGAGGGCAGTGACCAGGACGTTTCCAAGTACACCTCCTACCTTTTAAACGTGGCAAGCTCTCGGGTAGCTATGAAACGATAGCGAGAACTTTGGCATCCTATTTACTTTGCACCTCTCTAAAATTTAATGGGAATCTCAACATGGACGCGACGCGAGAAAAAATATTTCAGTTAATTTTTGCCTGGCGATTTCTTTCCATTCCATTCCTCTCCCAATCGATGGAATGCCTACGTTGACGTTCTTCGAATTCCATCAATTAAAACAGATTCATGATTATCTGGACGAGCTTGCTGCTTCCTATCCCGATCTCGTCACCGTCTTCAGCATCGGAGAGAGTTTCGAAGGGAGGGATCTGAAAATGATCAAGATATCCAGCGGGGTGGCGACTCAAAAGATCTGGATCGATGCAGGTGCGAGTGTGACCTCTCTCAGGGTTCGGGATTCCGCTCACGGATCCACTTCATACACGACCGCTTCCATCGTTCCGTGCATACAACGATCGTTTGAAAATCACATTCCAAGTATGATTTCCCTTCAGGAATCCACGCGCGAGAGTGGATTGCTCCAGCCACGGCCACTTACATCATCCGCGAGCTGGTGGAGAACTACGATGCAAACAAGGATATCGTCGATACTTTCGATTGGTACATCTTTCCGGCTCACAATCCCGATGGATACGAATATACGCACACTAACGTGAGTATGTCCTCTCAGTTCATTCTCTCCTCTCCTACATCAGCCATCGTCTAGGCCGACTGTAGATCCTCCAGATTCTACTTGCGTCCGCTCATTTTCTCTAATAAAGGATCTACGACCAAGGATGTGGAACTCACAAATGTACTTTTAGGAACACTTCCACCTGACGTTTCTTGTTATTTCCTTCCAGAATTCCTTTCTTTTGATGGTTTTCTCAGTCTACTACTCCATCGCCAAGTGGTAGTGTTTCTCATTTGTTTAATTAAGAAACGTATGCGTTTGTAGACGATGTCGAGCAAGCAAAATCAAAAGGAGAGTTCTTGAAGGAACACGAATTACGACACCGTCCTAATTCGTGTTCGTCCGGGCCACCCCATCATTCCTTCAAATGCAGAGATTGTTAAGCGCTGGAGAAAATGCGTGGGACGTGACGGAGGTTATGTCGAAAAATGAGACACGTATGGGTAAAATTGCTAAACACTTGCATTCAGTTTGAATAATATCTGTAACGGTAAACTCGAAATAAATTCAGTGACATTATTTTTTAAAACACCCTCGCGTTTATTCACAGCAAACACAATAAATGTCGGATGCATTTGAATTCGGAGTATTCGATTATGAGACGAGAGGAGGTTCATGTAACGTAATTTAAAGAGATAGGATGGTGGACTGTTGTGGGTTCTTTTGCATTGGCGTAGGTGAGAATGTGGAGAAAGACTCGATCGGACTATGACTATCCAAGTGGATGCATTGGGACAGATCCCAACAGGAACTTCGACTTTCACTGGATGGGTAAGAATGCATAAATGCCCCCCTCTCCTTCAACTTTCCTTCATGCAGTCCAAAACATGAATAATGAAAAGTACTCTCTACATTATGAATACCGTCAAATGGAAGCATTTACAGCAATGCCATCGAGCAAGCATCAAAACATGAGCATCATTTTATGTTCTGTTTCGTACAGAGTCGTTTCAGTAGGATCATTCTAGAAGGGATCTACCGAAACACTGAGTTGACCGTGTTCACGATTTGAATCATTAAAGATAGTTCAATTCTGAATAAATAGGTCAGGGGTACGCGTCCCCTCATTCAAAAAGAAGCAAAAGTAAGTAGAAATAACGCACGAAACGCCTGAAAACAGTGTCCAAGAGTTCCCGTGCGCCCCTCCCCCTTTTTTTTCCTTCCATGCTACGTTTATGCTACCACCTGCCTTCATCGTGCAGTCAAATCTGATGATGAGATTGCTCAGAAATAAGCTTACACGATCTTTCGAATGACGAATGTATACACAGTTTTCCAGTAGATCCACCTCTTCAAAGACTCGAAGGTAATGCTCCGCTTCCCCCCCCCCCCCAAAAAAAAGCCTATTTCAGAGGACACTGATAATACAGTATATAGAAAGATTATGCAATGGAAGTTTTCATTTGCTACTCAGGGAGTCCAGGAGCAAGCGATGATCCGTGTTCGGACATCTTCGCCGGTCCGGAACCTTTCTCTGAATCCGAAACGGCAGCAGTCGAATCGTTCCTGATTCCAGAGAATGCAGACGGGTCATTCCAGGTCTTCCTCACCGTGCATTCCTATTCACAAGTGTGGCTTTCACCTTGGAGCTGGACATTGGAACTCCCCGTCGACTACGACGACCTCGTCTGTTTCACTTGACATAGATTTCTTCATGTTTCTTTTCGGATACTCTATCATGGAGCATTTTATGGTTCGTCAACAGAGGGAGTTGGGTGAAATAGCCATAACTGCCCTGGCTGAAGTCCATGGAACGGAGTATGAGTTCGGTGCCACGACCGAAATTTTCTGTACGTTTCCTGATATTTCCACTCATAATTGCAGGGACAATAGACATGTAAGGCCTCTCTAACAGCTGTGCGATGCAAAACAGGCAGTTTGGCAATAGCAAAAAATCATTGGATCGGCAACGATTTCCGTTTAACACGTTTCCCGAGCACAAGGAGCACCGATCACTTCCACGTCACGGGGGAAATCTGTCTGCAGATTCTCAGCTATTACTTTCCGTTTTTATACATAAGCATTTAGAAACATGTGTAACGCTAAAGTAGGCTACTTTCATTGCGCGTTTCAAGAACAGTTCTTGCTTTAAGTGCTTAAAGACAAAACGAGTCTCAGCGATAGCACGAAATGGATCTGCTGTCATAATCTGTAAGAAACTAGTATAATTCCTCCGGGTGATCAGTAGATAAAGAAATGATGCACTTGGATGATGCAGATTTCGCGCCTGGACCGTCTGATGACTGGGCGAAGGGAGCGGCAGGAATCAAGTATGCCTACACGATCGAGTTGAGGGATACTGGCACTTTTGGCTTCCTTCTTCCTCCCGAGCAGATCATTCCCACCGGGGAAGAGACTTGGGCTGCCGTCGCGGCTGTTGCCAGATTCTTCCAATAAACACTCTCTGCATGGCCTGGATAACATCCTTGTCTTCCTTTCACACAAATGGCACTTCCCCATAAAACTTCCCACCCTCGCCACCCAGGTTCACATCCACGCAGGAACTGCATCATTGCGCTTCCTTCTTTTCATTATGTATTCTTCTACCGTAGAGTTTAGCTCATAACGGTCCAGTATTCTCGGAGAACTAGAAATATGAGAGTATATTCGCGCATAGCTTCTTCGAACACGAACTGTAATTTCTTGTTGGCGTTACGACGCGTCTGGGTGCAAGTGTTGTGGGATCGGTGTTATCGTAACGTTGCCTGAATTGGTTAGATCAGGGGTGTCAAACTCAAATCGGTCGGTGGGCCGCATTCCTTACCCTGCAGATGCCTGCGGGCCGCACCCATAAAAATTCCCTGAAATTTGTGCTGACACTCAATCCATGCGGAAAATTTCAATAGCAGACGGCGGGCCGGATCCGGCCCGCGGGCCGTATGTTTGACACCCCTGGGTTAGATCAGTATTGAAGTATATGGTGGGGCAATAAAAATGACATCACACATTACAGTTTTTCTCAATTGCTAATGCCTTTTTTCATATATTGATGGATATTGTCAGAACTTGACGTAAGATCTGCAAAACTCTGCGCTCTTTTCTCACATCTACGCGTCCGACAGTCAAAAGAGCGTCCATTTTTCAAAATAAAAGTACGCTCTTCCATTTCTAACGTACGGGGTTAGGAACGTCTAATGGACAGCCAACCGCGCTAAACAAGTCTTTAGAAGATGACACCCTCGATTTCAATATGCATTCCTGTTACAATATCTCTAGGAGGAAGGAATAGAAGCAGTAATTTGACCCTTTGACCGGTTTCTTTTTTTAATTCTGAAAGTAACGTCATGCGATAAAATGTAGAGTACGGGACCAGTAGTACTTTTTATTTTCATTAATTTCTTGTTTATGCATCATAGGGGGAAGAAAAAAAAGGCGAAAATGTGGGACTGAGGGGAAAACTCCAGCTCTCTCGGATCCTGGAGATATTACATACATATGTCGTTTGTCACTGCTTCCATTATAGAAATACACCTGGAAAAGAAAGCCACTATAACGAATTGTAAGTGACATCTTGGAAACACAGAATTTGAAAAAAAGAATTGGGAGGAAACCGAGCATAAAATCAATTCTTTAATTGCAAAATGGACTCCTCGTTTCCCCAAGATGTCCTATCGTGGACGTGTTGTGATAATTAATCAGTTGATAGCTCCAAAACTCTGGTATACCCTTGCATGTATCGAACCTCCACCTGGATTCCTCTTAAAACTTGAAACTCTTTTTAGAAACTCTGCCTGGCTATGGAAACATTGGCTTCATCCGATATATCTTCACCGCAAGCTCCTCCTTGGTGGACAAAATCTTGTCTCCCTTGAAGCTAGGAGACTCTCTTTTCGCCTTTCTTTTCTAAAACGAGTTCTCACCATGACAAGCAGACATCCATCATATGGCATCTTTTTTTTTTATTTGCTCAGTTTGCGACTTCCCTTCCAGAAGTCTAGGGGTCCTACTGCTAACTTCACCATCCATCACACATGAAACAGCTCCTACATACATTACAGAAACAGCAGCACTTTGTTTTCTTTAAACCTCAGTTGCAAGTCTGAGGTTTCTTCTTCCGACCTCTTCCCTTTAATTTCACTGAAACCCAATATTTTTCTCCAAGCTTTTTCCATTTCACCCTCTGCTGCTTGGGAAGTAACCAATTTTACTACTCTACAAGATATACACAATGGTACCTCATGGATGAACCCAGACACCATACCAATTACAGGAATAATAAACCCCAGGATACACAGACAGATCTCCATGGACCTACACACTATTAGGGAAAAACTTTCTCCTGATAAAACAACACAAAGCACTCAATTCAGCTCCATTTTCTTAATACAACTCCCAGACAGAAAAGACCATGTCCATGTCGACCTTTTAACTTGGGAAAGGATTTATGACCTTTTATTTCGCTTCATCTACAAGAAAAGCCAAGTCAATCACCCCACACACCATGTCCAATGCTTTCTCCCAGGCACAGAAAAATTTGTCCCCATCTGGAAATCCTTTTTCGGCTCCCCTCAGAAAAAAAAGATGGTGACATCAACTGGAGACTTCTACACAATTCTCTAGTGTCCCCAGTTTTGAAATCTAAAATGAACAGCAACTCTTCTCCATTATGTCCTTCATGTGGCGGTCTGGGGACTTTAATCCACTTGTGTATTGAATGTAGGGACATTCAATATTAAAGGAAATGTGTGCATACATTGAAAAATTTTTGAAAATGATTCATTCTGACAACCCTGAATTTTAAATTGTTTCTCTTCCACATTTTCCCAGAACATGCTTCCCTTACAAAATCTGAAATCTCCCTCATTGATTTCATCTTGACGCTTGCCAAGAGCAAAATTTACAAATCATACATGTCTTTCCTTTCAGAAACAGAGAATTGTGAGAAACCAATCACTCTCTTCAGAGATGCAATGGAAAAAAAGTGAAACAATCCTACTACCTCCATTGCACCATAGAAAAACGTACAACATTCACCGACTTTTGGGGTCCAATTGTGCAACTGGATGAAGACGGGTACATGGAAGTGAAATTTTAAAGCCATTGTATTCATTTCATCCATTTTATGTTACCCTTTATGCTTTTATTTCCTTGCTAATATTGTGATATAGTTGTAATTTTTAAATTAAAGTATCAATGAAAACCCAAAATATGGAATTTGTATTGATAGGTAATATGTTAGATTTCACACCAAAGAAGCTACTTTCAGGAACCAAACGAAGGGTCAAGAAGACTTTTAGAGCCCAGAGTCGGGTTTTTCTTTTTTTCTAGATTAACATTTAAAAGAAGAAATGATGCGAGTTTTTAGCAACTATAGGCTAAGCTAGGGCAATGCACAGTGCACTGATAGACGTATCTGTCATATCTTCGTGGTGGTTACTTTCAAAACTTTCAAAATAGGCCTACTCTCTATGTATTGGATTGATGTAGGCCTTCTTATGAAGCCTGATGACAGATAGGAGAGAACAATAACTTCTGCAAAAGGTGGATGGCTCATAGGATTGAACTTCCCACCTCTCACCTAGCTCATGGCAGTTGATTTAATGATGTGATGAAATGGAAATTTTCTATGAGGGGGCCAAAAATTGCATGGTAAGAATAGAAGGTATGCCTAGTATGAAACATATTATGGTTCTCATCAGGTGAAAAGGTTCGTCCATGGAAAGTAACAGTTCTGGACAGTATTCACTATAGCAAATTTTGCTTGAATGCACACAAATCCCCCCCCCCCTCTTCCTCTCTCGACTTTGTTTGAAATGGGAAAATGCATATTTCTGTTCCGCAACAGATGTCCCTGCGATCACGGGTTTCTGCCCGCTGGGCCGATTACCATCTCCCCACATCCTAACAAGATCAGTCTTGTGAAAGCATATGTCGGCCAAGTCACTTTACTTGTGCCGTCAATCAAAAGGGTGCAGGGTGTTGTATCCGGTCGAAAATCCAGACAAAAAATCGGACGGTTTTCGTCGTTCTGGTTGTTCTTTCTGATCGTCATCGTTTGCTTCCGTCAACTTCAAGCACTTAGAATACATACTAAGAGGTTGAAATGGACCTGCCAAACCTGCAATCGATTGAAAACTTCACGTAATCGATATCTAGAGGTACAGTAACAAAAGCAAATATGGCGTCAGAAAGCTCGTCTGAGAGCTCAGGATATTGCCAGTGAGCTAATGTCGAACGATGACAGTGGCAGGTGATTTCATGATTGATTTAAGCGATGAAAATGTGGATGAAGAAAATTTTGAAGATAGTATGATAATGACAAGAGCTGCGATGAAAGCGGCAGTGACAGTAATGACATTGGTCGATCAGCTGATTTCCTTTCCAACCAGTTCATGTGGACCACAACGACAAACCAGCTAAAAATGTTCATTTCATTGGCAATCAAAGATTGTAGATCCAAATTTTCTGAGTCGGATGATCATAAAACAGCCTATCCCTAAGGCACGGGCAAAATTACATGGTATTATTTATTGTAAAAACAAAACAAAACAATCGAAACCGCAAATAAGTGCTTCCTCGCCTAACGTGGCTAAATTTCGCTGCCATTTTTGGATAGGGTATTTACTTTTTTGACGGCCAACCTCTGAAAGATCGATATCAGCATAATCTGAATTACATTCTCCGATTGTCGAACTCGTTAATGATGACTGTCAATAGCGTGTGAGCTGAACTTCCTTCAGGTTGCGAGCTTGGGAGATCGCCAGGTTTCGCTGGAATTTTTATTTACACGTAAGATCACGAAAATCGATGTTAGGTATGTAAAATATGCAAAGTATTGTAGCCAGTCCGTACCAAAATATAAGAGCTATATGAAGGTACTGGTTCTGCTGCAAGTGAAATATTTCGTAACACTGCTATCATTCTTTAGAACCAATTGGATGTCTTAAATAAATAAAAACTACCCGACTAAAGGGAGGGAAAATACAGGATACGCGAAAATGGTACGAAATGTGAAGATATATGTATCCCACGTTTACTGCTGACGAGATGAAGCACTCCTTTTGTAGGACTTGACAATTCAACTATAGATGCTCCGCCTTTATGGGCACTAGACGGAGGTGGTTCAGGAGAAACTGCACATCAGTGGATACATCAGGGACACCGACATGACGATAGTCTCTTAAGGTGTCCGATCGATACACTATTCGTGACACTTGGGCAAAGATTACCGAAATTCCGTTGTATCCAGTGATGTGCAGTTTCTCCTGAACCACCTCCATCTAGTGCCCATAAAGGCGGAGCATCTACATTCACAGCCCTCTCATTCAAGGGCCCATCGCGGTAAACGTGGTGGAAAGCGAGTAAGAGCAAAGCACGCCATGAGAGGGAATATTTTTCTCAGCTTCCTCTATGGAACGTTGAAGGGCTCAAGTCCCTATTAAACGCCATGCCTCATCAGGAGATCCTACTTTGCCAAGACGCACTATGTCTTACAGAGACTTTTCTGACTGAGAAGCAGTCGACATTCAGGGCTTTTATTGCTATCAAACACCAGCGACTAAGCAGCAAGGCCCTGGAAGGCCTGCCGGTGGTATCGTCATCGCTATAAAACCCTTCCTTAACCCCTCCTTGTTGGTTCAGGACATCTCCTTCGTTGCCATAGAAACCACCGTCTGCAACATAATAGCTTGTTATCTCAAGCCATCATGCACTGTCGAAGAGGTAGTAGACCCCATTGCCGACGCTTTGAGCCAGACAAAGGGAAGGAAACCAGTTATTCTGTGTGGAGACTTCAACGCCAGATCAGATACGAGCGACGAGAAATTCCTCGCAACATGCGACCTTCTTTATCCTAGGGGCTTCCATCTTCTTAACGACCCATGCTCACCCACATACACATGTCACAATACGATCGACCAGGCGCCTATTCCACAGAAGATTTACAAGTTACAAGCTACATGTTACAAGCAGTTGCAAGGGTTATGCCTTGATTGCATCAAGTGTCAGTGGGACCCGCTAGAAATGTTGAAAAAGCAGACACTACCCTTGCAACTACTTGTAACTTGTAGCTTGTAAATCTTCTGTGGAATAGGCCCCAGGTCTTCACCGACGCTACTGCCTCCGCGATCCGCTCACAGGAACGTGTCGCCAGCGCCACCCCTCTAAGGAAACACCTACCGGTACTAACGAAGTTGTCGCTACCCAACCCTGACTTTCGCCGCCCTACTCATTCAATGCCCAAACGCAAGAGGAAAGTAGACGTAAACAGTCTCCTCCACCACCCAAATTTAGCCAGTATGGAACTCGAGCTGGACCTCGACCGAATCGATGTAGCTTTCCAATTGCTACGAGATGCAACTCTTGATGCCGTGGCCCTTCAACAGACGCGGAAAATGAAAGGCCAACCCTGGTTCGACCGGGAATCCCGAGTTGCTCGAAAAGAGGTTCCGAAAACTACGCCTAGCAAAAATAAATCCCAGGGCACACGCAAATACCCACATCGACGAAGAGAGTACAAGCAACTACTCTCTCGCAAGAAATCCCTCCATCAGGACCACCAGGAAAGGATATTCATGAGAGAAAGGAAGCGAAACCTTGGAGATTCCTCATGAGCTACGACAGAACATTCAAGTCCTGCCCCTTCGCGTTAGAAGCTGGGAGGAAATTTTTGATTGCCTCCTAAACCCGACCGGCATTCTCCCAGACTTCAGCAACCTGGAGCAAATTAATAATACCGGAAACCATCTACCACTTAATGCACCATTCAGCAAGGAGGAAGTTACCGACGCCATACTCTCCTTCCCAGACACAAAGGCCACAGGTATTAACGGCTTCTGCCACGAGCATCTCAAAGAGTCGGTCGGCGTTACAAGCCAATTGTGGACTAGACTATTCAATATACTGTATGTCTTGAAAGAGGCGAAGTGGCCACCCATTGGAAATACAGCCTCATAAAAGTACTTTTCAAAGGGAAGGGCTCCAAAAACTATCGGGCCATCGCTCTGACCTCTTGTGTTTTCAAGGTCCTCACCGAGCTACTGTCAGAGAATCACTCGTCACAGTGAGCGCTACTTACCTGAAGAACGATATGGATTTCGTCACGGTCGCGGAACCATAGATGCTCTTAAAGTGTTCCAAATTGGACGCCCATCTCAGCGTACCAAAGAAACATTATTCATTCTCTTCGTCGATTTCAAGAAAGCCTTCGACAGCATCGATCGCCATCTCCTCCTCAAATTAACCCGAGGATCCCAGCTACTCGGAAAAATTGTAAGACTCTTTGCCACCATACTCAAGAAAAACCTGATCCAAGTGGACGATAACCTGAGAACAATCCCTATTGCCCAAACCCGGGGTGTTCTCCAGGGCGACTCCCTGAATCCACTTCATTCTTTTCTCCGCAGATCTCCCAGAATTGATAAAAGAACGCTCCGCCAACATCGAGATAATGACGTACGCAGACGACATCGTTATCTACTCCTCTTCAAGAGACGCTCTTCAAACAGCCGTGGACGCATTGGAGCTATGGGCCAGAGAGAATTCTCTTCAAATGAACACAGACAAGACGAAAGTCGTGGAATTCCTACTCGGTGGGAAATTGGCGAAACAAGATAAAATCAAGTTTGGGGAGTTCGTCAATGAATTTTCCTATCTCGGAGTCATATTCCAACACTGGGAAGTTTACAAAATATATAAAGTCGAAGTCCAAAAATGCATAGCAGCGACTTATTCCACCCCTACGAAAGCTCTCAATACCTGCTGCTCTGTCTTCAAAATGAAAATCATGCTGATTTGCACTTATGCTCTCCACATCATCTGGAACGACCAGTCCACTTCCCATTTGCATGATTTGAACAGAATCAAAGCGATGTTCCTAAGAAGAGTACTCCCGCATCACCCCCGAGCAACTTAATCATCACTAGGTCGAGCGTTCCTTAGGGTAGGTCTACTCCTCTTAAAACTAAATATTTTTTGTATTTTTGTGATTTTTTTTAAAGCATATCCTAGTGACTTATTGCCTAGTCCCCTAAGTCAACATTGCCCCCCTTCTTGCTTGTCCATAAAAGCATCTAGTTTCTTCTTTAAAATAGCCACAGCACGGGGCAGCCACTACGTCGTAATCTAACGCATTCCACGCATTTACCACTCTAAAAGTAGAAAATTCCTGCCTTAACCTGAGCCGCACTTGTGGCTTACGCAATTTGAGTTGATTATTTCTCGTTTTCTTGCTGCCATCGAACTGGAAGAACCTACCACACTCAACATTATCTATCGTATATATTAATCGGGAAGTGTCCATCCGTCTGAAACGCTCTGCGTAGGGAGAGGGCTTTCATCCGGGATGGATTAAAGGAAAAGACTTGTCTCCATCATTGACACTAACAATAGATTATTTGTTGCAGTGTGAGGCATGTTAAAGATTTCCATCTCATCCTTTTGGTTAATGGAGAAATTATAGTCATACAACAAATAACACTTTACTGGTGAGATGACATTGATATCTCTGGATGTGTGGCTACTAATGCCAAATGTCTAACATCAGCTCTGACACTGTCTCATTGCAAATTTTACCTTGCAAAAGTTAGCAAAAAGAACGCTTCAATGCAAAGAGCATGAAGAGAATAAAAAGCCAAGACAGTCAACCTGGTTGATCTCATCAACTTTATACCAGGACTATTCCTTTTTTTTATTATAGATCTGAACCCTGTCAAAATTCCATACAATCACTTGAGCATCACAAAGTGAAAAACCAGCCACAAACAAGGATTATGCCACAATCCAACAGCTCTAAGCTGTTTCTTGTGATTTAGAGATGATTCTGCATCCATACCATTACTCCTGCAATCAACTCACAATTGAGCCAAATAAGAACCCTTCACTACTCCCAATAACCACAATCAATCTAGCAGGCTAATTGGGAGGATGCAAAGAACCTCAAATATGGGCAAAAAAAACTAGCATTAAAAAGACCTCAAAATGGAAATATTTGTACATCTTGAATGCTTACATATGAAGCACATAACAATTCATGGATAAGATGCTTATTGCAAAAAATTGCAAGTTGATACCACTGTGGCATTTTGCGAAAACAGTGCAGTATGAATTGAGGAGAATGGTGAAGAACCTAGAGGGTGTAAAGGAAGAGAGGCTGAAGGTGGAACAATAATTATAATGAAATTGCTCAAATTGACAAGATCCCTAAATACTGCAAGTTTAAATCCAGTCTACTGGTTAGCCTATAATTTCAGTGAACCCTTCATAATCTATATAATTTAGAACCTGTTTTAAAATATTCAAGATGTGAGGGGCTTCAGATATCAAATTACATGGAGGTAAACCCAAAGAAAACCAAGACTAACTCATTTCAACAGCTATATTGCAACAGCTGTATTGCCATAAAGGATGGACCAGTAATACTGTATAAGGTCCTGTAAAACTAATAATTTATAACTACTTGCAGGTACTAGCAATCAGTGAATTAAAATATCCTTGATGTAGGATGGACTTTGACTCAATGCAGGCAAATTCATTTCTTAAGCTGAATGGATGGGATGGTGAAAATATAGAAATTTGAAGCATGCTATGAAAAACTATTTGACAAAGAAATACTGATCTAGCTTGTCTGATCAGACAGTTCACAAACTAAACTGCCTTTCAGTGAACCTGGTGCAAAGACTTTGGATGCATTTTCAAGACAAATGGGGACTTTGACAAAGAAGCCAAGATGGGAACAAGAGTTGAATGAAGTGCTTTGAAAGACAGTAAACATAGCATATGATGAGCATCATGCTCTTCTATTGCTTACATTTTTTCATAGAAAACATTTAATCAAATATTTTAAATTTCACTGTTACCAAACACTCTCATGAAGAAGAAATGGATCTAGATGATGGAACAGAGCATCAAGAAGAGATGACATTCACACATGGTGTTCACAAAAGATTACAGTGATATAATCATATGTCCTGAAACTCTCTTTCAAAACAGGAAAGAAACTACCTGAAGGCCTTTTGCATTTCCTCAAAGTCTAATTTAACAATACAGTCCCACAATAAATCCACTTCCAATCTCACTTTCAACTTGTTAAATCCACCTAATAAAAACATGATTCACCGGGTAGTAACTTTCTTTGGGAGTGCACAACATGGGAGGACTGAACCATGCCAGCATGGTATCTTACTCTCCAAAAGCTAACACAGCTTGCTTTGCAGGCCTATCATGCGTAATGTAACATCTCACTAAACCTGTGACTGGACCTTGCAGTGGAGCCAATTTAATAGTAGCATGCACAGATGAAAACCCTTTGCAATTACAAAATTACAGATAGGAAAGAATCATTTCAAAATGAAATGATTAGGCTCTTGTAAAACCATTTCATGCATATCCATCAGGACTGCCATTTAGCAATTCTTTCACACCTACAATGGGAGTCTCTCTAAAATTCTCAGTACCTTGCAACATGTGCTAACAGAGGCTTCCAGACACAACATAAAAAAATACAGAAGAGTTCTGGTGGGATGAAAGATGGAGGAGTAACAAGGAATGAAAAAAAGCATTCTACATTGCAGATTGATTTAAACTGATAATTCTAGGCATAGATGACTGAGAAATTGAGGACCGGATCATATAACTTGAAGAATCTGTGATGCCTCAAATACGGTTCCAGGAGGGAGGAGGACAGGAGAGGCTACATGGCCAGCCTCCACACATATCATGTTGGGAAACTCATCGTCCCCAAAATCACTCATTCCTTTGGCCTTCTCTGCCCAAGGATTCCAAACCACTGCACAACAAGAAAATATCATCTGTTACAGATTTAATTTCATGAGTGGGGAAACTGAAACATGCAAGATGCTAGATGAATAATCACAACAGTCATCACAGGAAGGAGACACAAAAATACTTGACATTCATCTAACAGTGAAAAGTTCAGCAATTTCTTTCATATTTGACTAATGAAACATCACAGGTGAGTACATTATGATGTTAATTACATGATAAGATAGGTCCAGATAAATCTGAATCTGGATGGCAAGTACAACAGTTCACTGTGCAATCCCAGAACCCTTTGGAGTTTCAATGGCATTCTCTGCTTTTTGTCTGCTGTCCTTACAAAGATGTTACAAGATGAAGGGCCTATTGAAGTGGAACTGCTGCATCTTCACTCAATGATAAAATTGTGTTCCCAAGAAGTAAACTATGTCCTACTGGTAGGATGGTGGAAATTTTATAATTGGCAACAAACATATAACTTTTTCTGGCCTTTATAGGGGAAATGTGGATACAAGAATTACAATAGCCTTCCTGGTGAGAACTCAAAAGCAGGAGATGGAAAATTAAATGTGATAGATGGATGTCACAGACTCATCCTGTTGCATACTCTACATCCACCCTAAGAGATACTTGCAAGTCACACCAATGGGCAATTTTTTGACATGGCAAGTCACTAGAATAAAAGCCTTTGATCCCAGGGGTTGATGCCAGGCATTTAAAGGACTGCCTGGAGTGGGGGAGGGGGTGTCCAAAATTAAGCAAAAAAATTTTGTGAGTACTGCTGGAAGCATCAGTCAAAGCACTATGTCTAAGTCATACACATGCCAGGGAGGTGTCAAAATCAATGGCCTGGGATCTCTAGATCTGAAGAAGTAGTTCCTCAACCAGGTTCTCAAGGATCCCAACACACAGCATCCTTTTATGAAGATGCACACTGGTTACTCATTGCAAGAACCTCATTTTGCCAGCTTGTATTTGCAACTTATCCTTTTTGGTCATTTCCCAAAGTTCACAACCATACATGAGGGTGGGGAGATAAACCCTCTTAAAAACCGAACCGAACCGAACAACCTCGTGGAAATTTTTTGATACAACAACCACAGTCCTCCTGAGTTCCTGCAAAAGGACAATGCACCAGTTGATCTTGTTTCTGTATTGCTTGTCACTAGAGGCCCAGACTCTGCAGTACTTAAACTTCTGTACTAAAAACAAGTCCAAACTTAGTCTGTTCCCTTGAGCGGAGCTCCTGCTATCAATGTATAAGGATCGAATGACCTGCAGTAGCCAACCATTAACCCCATCTAATTCCAATGTCTCTGGAGAACTGTAGGGCTTTAATTTCAAATTCCAAAAAGGGGGGCATACTGATGATCATTGATATGTAGAAAAGTGCACATTATACATTGTACATTGCACATTTGTCCCTCTTCTTGCAATGTGCCACATACATAGTTGCTCAGATCAAAGTATTTACAATGATCTATACCAATAAGATAAAGCCAACTTAGAAAATAGACAGCAGCATGAGCCAGGATTGCTCTTCCAAGATATGTATTCCCATATAGAGGGTGTGGTTAAAAAGAGACCAAATACTTTGAATGAATGTGGCTCTGCCCCACTGGAGTTTAATTTCAATAAACTTTCACTGATCATAGATATGTTTTCTACAGGGCTTTGACATTCTATCCAAATTCACATTGCCAACTCTAGGTCATGAAAAATTATCGAAAATAAGTTAAATATTGAATATGGACAAGAGACTCCAATCTCTTCTGAGTTCCTCCTCCTCCTTTATACTCCTACAAATACCAAGGAAGAATATGAAAAAACTTAAAACAGATTTGTTGTTTTGGCTCTTATTAATTCACCTTTCATGGAGCTCACTATCTGCATGAAAATGTCAGTCTAAAATAAAATATTAAGGTATGGAAGAGAAGTTGGATATGGGCCAGATGATATGCTAGCATTGTGGATGAGCATGTCCTCCACTCCACCACCAACATGTTTTTTTATTTTTATCATTTTCTCTTATTTTTTGTTCTACTCATTCTTCAAATAGGCCAATGAAACAGGCTAAAAGTTGTTGGTCTTCTTTTTATCATACCCTGTATATTAGTCTGTAGACCGAATATGTTTGGAGATTTTTTATTATTGGTTTGTGTTTGCAAACCTCGGTGATCACAATGGTCTGGAAGTGCAAAGTAACTGTAAAGGTCACTCACCAGTATCAGGAAGGTTGTACTTCTGCATTCTCATTTTTCTCCCTGAAACTACATTGCAGATTACATGTTCCCCAGCAGTGTTGCAGTAAATTCGATCTGTATACTCTGAGATTGTAGCAACATCCCTACTTTCCCGGAATACAGCACCTTCTTGAGTCTGTAGGAAGAGATTAGAAGAATTCCACAATGAATGTTTCAACATTTTCATCTTTCCATCAAGACATCTTTGATCAAATTGAGAGCAAGTGAGTTGAGAGTTAGAGAAAAATAAATAAAATCATCAGTGAGGACTCTATCCTCTCAGCTGCTAAAAGATCTGCTGGAAGATCAACTCCTTAGATCAGGGATGTCAAACTCAATTAGAATGGGGGCCGGATGGAAGCCTTCAGGGGTGATTAGGGGCCACAACAAAAATGTAACACCTTATCTTTAATGCATACAGGCTGAAATTTGCAATTCTTTTCCATAACCAACTGTTGAAGAGGACTTTGCGGGCCAAACAAAATGGACTGGCAGGCCAGATCCGGCTCACAGGCCGCCAGTTTGACTAAGATGACTAGATGCTAGAGAGCATGGACAACAAATATAATGAAATTTTGCCAAAATCCCAAATATGAAATACATATGAAATAACAAAAAGGTATAGTTATAGCATTTCTTTATTGTTTGTTGAATTGGAGGTTGAACTTTCAGCTTTGGGTGCTTCAAGTTTCAATGCTTGCAAATGCCCCTTCACTGTTCCCAGGAAAAGCCTAAGATGTGATCATTCAATCCACATTATCATGAAATACACTATAAACCATATGTATTCTTATCCAATATCGCATCATCTTTGCATATACCTTGATTTCATTATTTTAAGGAAAACTTGGCTTTCTGATTTAAATGAATGACTCAAGATTCCAGACATCATATTCCACATTTCATTCTCTCATCAGAGAAAAATGATGAGGGTGTTTTCTTTTCTAATGCCAAAAATGGAACTTCTACTTTAGTGAAGGAGTATGTGTACCCTGCATAAGTATATGTATCATGGGCTTTATTCATATGCACTCAAGAAAAACCACATAAGCCAAACAAAATTTTATTCAAATTTTCAAACCTCATGATGCCATTTGGCATCCCCAACTTTCAAGAATTTTCCAGCTTCACCCATGGAATTCTTTCAAATAACAGTTATGGAAGCTTCACCATGGTAATACAATCTATCTGATGACTTGTTTATAATGTGTTAATCGTGTATATGCAGGGATCTAGGAGCAGTTTAAAAAAATGAAGGAATCTTGAAGCTTTTGTAAAGAGATTACTAATTTCCATAAATTCTTTTTCCAGCTATATTTTCTACCCTTTCAAAAGCTAGATTTTTTAAATTAGCCCAGAAATGTTGAGAAACATTTGATGGAAAGCTAGGTTTGGATTTCTACCAAAACAAATGAAGATGAATCATTTGATTTAATTTTGAATAATTTAAAAACAAATGGAATGCATATTAACCCTGTAGCCATTCTGGAAGCTGATATTAAAAAATGTAGCCATTTATGTAAGCTGTGCCATAAACATGTAAAGTCCAATACCCCATGTATTTTCATAGAAATATGATAGTAATTAAACAAAGCGCTTTTAAGAGATTCTTTAGGAATGAAGAGATGAAACAAAGAGTTGAATGCTATGACCATCTGAGTTCTAGTAGTTAAAGGGATGAATTCTGTTTCAAATTATTTTATTTATTTAAAAAAGCAAGTACAACCATGTTTCCTATGACTTGTTAAATTCACAAAGCCAACTAGAATACTTTTCCCATGCTTAAAACATAATTCAGGCTAGAAAGGGTGAAGAAATGGACTCAACAAACAGTTGAGTCTTCTATCCCAGAGTCACTTCAATGTCAAATCATCTGCATCAACTTTGCTATTTTATCTCTCACTTTCTGACATAAGATTTAATATTTTTTCATCATATAAGCAATGTCAGACTGTGAATGAGTCTATTGGGAATATTTTCATGACAATGAGGGAGCAAAATGTCTTTCCAGATTGTGTTCATCACAGCTTCTTGACTGTTGAGCTAAAGCACTTCAAATATTTTTCCATATTTAAAATTTGAAAGTTGGCATGAAAGGCCAACAGCTATCATCTCAATCACCAGTCTCTAAATGTTCAATGCATACCTCACTACTGGAACTCACTTTATCAATGAATGTAGAACCAGTCAATCCTGTGATCTGACAGCGTCGCACATCAGGAGCCTTGAAATAGGTATGCAGAAGGATTGTAAAGCTGAAGGCCTCTGCTCCAGGATTGTAGACACCTACATTGAAATGTAGCTCCTTCTCTCGTAAGATGAGACGATAACTCAGTCTAAATCTGCAAGGAAAAATCGTTGGAGAGAAAGAGTGGCTCCTTTAAATCATGTCATCTTCACAAGCAGGCCATTCTCTATAATTTTGTCAAATATATGAAATAATACAAAAAGGGCCTGTTGAGAGCTAAAAATCAGGAACCTGGCCCTCTTCAGAGCAAGGAAAAATGTACTTAGCAAAATATGCTTTGACAAAGTCATCAAGTAGAAAATGATCTCAAACAATGAGAAAAAATACAACAATGAGTAGCAAGTAACTTCTTCAGTCATAATGTGTCCAGTCAAGTTCAAATCAACCATTTCCCACATTTCAGATCTCATCCAATCTTTTTTCATTTTCTTATTCTGAATCTTGCATAAAATCACAAGCAACACCTGGAAATCAAATTAAAAGAATCACTCACAAATATTGTGAAGTTCTCCAAAAGTCAATACCACTCTTCATGAATAAAAATAGCATTTTTCATTCATGCACAAGGTTTTTGTTAAAATCAAGATTATAATTTACCTTCTGGGAATACATAAAAAACCATCTGAATCATAGACTCATTATTATCTGAAAAAAAAAGAAGACTGAACTTCAAGAAACTTCTGCTCTCAATGGCCAATGACAAACTTATTCAATATACTAATATCAATAAAAAATCACTATTTTGACAATTTCTGCCAGAAAATTTCCACTAAATTTAGGCCATATCTGTATGAGTGGAGGGGATGGCCTCCTATGATGAAGAAAATAAGGATGCTTTACTGGAGGCTTATGAACAAGGGAGTGATCATTGGAGAAAGCAGGAAATTTTGTGAGAAAAACTTTGTAATGAGCAGAATGAGAACTTACGCATGATTCCAAATTCCACGGGTAAAATCTGAGTCCTGAAGTGAAAATATTGCTTCAACATCTCCACTTGGAAGCCTTTCAGGTGGTTTTTCAAGGGCCCATTGGGTTATCCTGGCAAAACCATGCTGTGGTCCAATTGCCCATGACCCAAATTGAGCTGGAAATGCCAAATTGGTAAGCAATATCAAGAAAATAATATAAATACATTCCAAGAGTCATTTTGAATTCAACTCATTTTGGATCAAGTGACACCAAAAGAAGAAGCAATGTACTCACGGAAGACAAATGGAACCCCACCACGAATGGCCTTCTTTCCATCAAAAATTGCTTGCTTGCTGCAACAAGTCATGAAAAGGGTCCCAATGTAATATGAGTTATATAACACCATCAAACAAGCTAAAAAATTTCACCATCTTTCAATACAAAATTCCAAGTGAAAAGGTCAAGCCAGATGCAGCATGATTGGATCTGGCTGGCATAGGTAAAATACTATCATGTTACTATAGGAACCAGTAGATTAAGCCCTTAATATCCAAAGGATTAGAATTAACTCTGAAGCTGAATTCACTTCAAGTCTTCAATGCAAACAATATGATAGTAATATCTTATCTAATCTATTAAGATTCCATAAACCACTGAGTGTATTTCCTCTCTGTATCATAAGTTCAAAGTCATTTTCTAAACCTTGACTTTCAAGAACATTACTGCTGTTTCCTACTCATTTTCAGGTATTCTATGCTGCTGTAGCTCATGCATGTACACTTCTTTTCTGAATCGAAAAAATTAAGTAAATGCAAATCCCCAACTGAATCCTCTTAAGGTGGATCCAGTCAGATCAAATCATGTTGGAACCTGCCAGTTCCAGAATATTGGATTGTCAAATATAGGAAAGTTGCCTACACTCCTTTTTAGAGTTCACTCGCAGGAGAATAAACTGCAAGGTTTTTTGAATGGGTGGAACTTCTGAACCTGAGTCAATATGATTTCTGGTAATGGACTCTAAAATCATTGAGCTCTTCATGACTCCTTAGCTTCATGACAGCAACATTACTTCAAAGGAAGGCAATCTATTATCTGGTACAAGTTAATTTCTAAATCAGTCTTACCAAAATTGCTGGGAAACCTAGCAATCCCAAAGACAGAGATGAAAATTTTTAGCTATAACATTCTGCATTTCTGGAATGAATTTTTCAGCATGGTGCTGGTATTAAACAGGAAAATTTAAGTTACAAAGTTTATATTTAGCTTGGTCAGTTTTACACGAAGATCATTCTTACTATTCTGAAAGAACAGACCTTTCTCTCTCTTCCTGGCAAGGGTTATATGAGCATATGGTCTCAAAGATTTTCACTATCATGCATAGGTTTTATTCTAATTCCGTAGCTGGGTCAGAAACAGGAATATTCCAAGGCCCAGGGGATATGGAGGGTGACAGTAAGTGACTCACCTAACAAAGAGTTGTTCCTGGTTGTTTACACGCCATGAAACAATTGTGGCACCTGTAAAATGAAACCAGCAACAATAAAGATAATATAAAACTGTAGAAATAATAATAAGATTAAAAATTATTAGTAAATTAGGTATTATTCATATTTATAAATTTTGATTATGAGACTTAGCTTGGGTCTATTAAAATAGGAATAACTCAGGAAATATTTTAATGTGCAGTAGTAACAGATATGTGCAGTTCTTAATGGGAATTTTTACAGTTCAAAACAGGGCAAGAATTACACTTTGAAACAAAATCTACTTTAAAATAGTGTTAAATCTAATTTTTATTCCCAAATTTTCACACTGTACAGGGGCAGGTGGGCACTTAATGTTATGCCAACCACTCCTACAGAGGGATTATAATCATTATGCAGATCTTATTATTTTCTTACAATATGCCTTGCCATGACTGCTTCATGCCCATTGTCCATTCTTTTAATTTCCAAGTTCAATTTTTTCTTATTTCTTTATATTCAGTTGGGTAATCTCCAATAAACCACAAGCTAGGCTCAGGTTACAGAATGACTTCTTCGTTTATAGAGTAGTTAATGCATGGAATGTGTTAAATGACAATGTAGAGGCTGCCTCTACTGTGACTAGCTTGAAGAAGAGGCTCAATGCCTTCCTGAACGAAGCAAAAAAGGGAGCAATGCAGCTGTAAGCAACCACCTCATCATCACTGAATGTTCAACCTTGACATGGGACATCATAATGGACAAAAGCACCACTTGCCATCCCAAATAGAGCCTTGAATGTCAGGAAAACCAATGTGGTCTATTGTTATAAAAAATGTAACAGCCTCCTGAGACATCAAAATCTAAAGGAAGATAGAATCATGTAAAATCCCAAAGGGATGGTTCTTGGGCTCTCTCATTCCCATGAAATCCAAAACCGAGACATAGATGCAGGCCTATGGTAGAGTATCCAGTAAAGCAGTCAAGCATGTCATTTCAAATGGCTTTGATCCCTTTCAGCCCCTAAATTCCCTAACCCAGGCAGCCATCCTTTCAATCATATGTCAGGCCACTTCTCCACTTATAAATCTTTTATTAAATATTTTAAAACAGAAAATCCACATCCTCTTCCACAACACAAGGTTCGAAGGAGAGGGAGGCCTCTCGATCACCAAAATTTCTATCCCTCTCACCCCTTTTCTTCCAACCCTGCTGCTTCAATAGGTGAGGAGCCTGCTTGAAAAAATTTATGTGGGAAACCTAATATATACATTAGAGAATTTGCAACATTCCTATGCCTAGCCAAGGTTTCTCCTGAACTTTTATACAGAAGGCAGAAATGACTAGTGTGAATTTAATGAAGCAGCCCCTCACTTCACCTAGGGTTATCCAAAATGGAGGAAGTGGCAATCATCTCACACTAAGAAAGGGAAGCTTCCCTTGGAAATTGGCTCTTATAAAACAGACGACAGAAGGAAACTTTTAGCACCACTGGAATGTGCAGAAGGCATCCATCAAAAACAAAGGGAAGGAAGACTGTAGCACCATCCAACATCAGGAGCCAAACACAACTAGTATCATTTAAACATTCATGCTCCAATTTACATAAGAGTATTCAGTTTAATCCAAGCTCCTGATTTCTCTAAAGAGATGTGAACAATCATAATGATTAATCAATCTCAATAGAAGTGAAAGCTGTCCTCAAAATTCTTAAGGCATTTCATTATTACTTGACTTGCAAAACTATTCCCTAAATTTCTTTGTTATAGCCTGAATTGCCTTTCTCTTGCAAGATGGTTCCTCTCTATTATGCTCTATTAAGCCTATTCTGATGGTGTTCCAATTGGGAATCCTCTTAAAGGTGAATTTTTTATTGATTTACTTTTTATTATATGCCTACTGCCAAATACAGCAGTACCATGTATTTCATGCTAAAACTGAGAAGTGACTGAGACACTGATGCTCAACCTGCTCCTAACCTCAAATAGAAAAATTGGAAGCATGGCTAAGTGACATAACTAAATATTGCTCAAAGCAGACCTGGGGATATTTTCACAAACACATCAAAAGCAGAACAGTGGCAAAATAGAGCTACTCAGCCTTCCATCTGAAATTATATTCATTAGGATATTGGGGTCTGCTAGGCCCAGCTAGAGCTTTGACATCATGATTTTACATAAGCCTCACTCTGCTTTTATTTTCAGACACCTCTGAGCATCAAGCAGCAGAGTGCCATGAATGATTTTATAAAAACAAAACCAGTCTGGCATTTTTAAGCTTATTAATAATGTCTGATTGAAAAAAAACAGGGCATTGAAGGGTATGCTGAGTTGGTCTCTGCATTCATGCAAGAGCTTCATTGTTTAAGCCTAGTTTACACAATTTTCCAGATATGCTCTACAAACTCTATGTTTTGGCATGCCGTTGGAAATGTCAAACCATCTCATTTAGGGCTTTTCTTTTCTGCAAATAGAAGCCTAGGAATGCCTCCTTGAAAGGCCTATATGTCTAAACTTTTGTTTGAGACTCTCTCTATACACCACTGGGGCATGCTCATTTATTAATGACTTTCTGCCTGAATCTCCTTTCTGCCTCCCAGTCAAACTAAACAAGTTGGCAAAACTCTTGTGGCGGATAAGGCTGCACATCAGGAAGATCTCTTGTACCCAATGCTCCCCTCTCCCCTTGCTCCTCCAAAAGTCAGGCCTGTCATATGCCACAAAGTAATCCTGAGGTACTTGAGTCATAATCAAGTCAGAGCAATAGAATCCATCAATACCTCACTACACCTATTTGTTGTAGGGTAAATTATGCCCTATAAGTCTGCTATACTCAACATTAGGTCAATTCGAGCAAGGAATGTTAGTTGGTCGCGTTAAGTCCGATATGTTATAGATTAAAAACAAGGATCCTTCCATATGGGCTAGGAACAGAGGCTAAGAAACCCAAATACGGGGTGACAAACCGTGGAGATTGACTGTGCACGTAGTGTTGTTGCCGCGGTCGAGGAGGACGACACTGGTGGGTGCTGACATTTCTATCCATGCACCATGTGACCGTGACGTCACTGTCAACATGGGCATGGCCACTGAAGGCCATAGCCACGTGGAATCTCGGAGCCCTTGAGCCTTTCCTACAGATGTCTCTGACCACTGTCTCAGACAGGTTCTCCAGATGGGAAAGAGATTTAACGTATTCCTCATTCCTCTGACTCCCCCCCCCCCCCCCCCCCCCCCCCCCCCCGATATTTGCCGATATTTGGGAATAAACTCGGGCCGCTGTGAGCAAGGACTTTCATCTCTTGCTCATCATGACTCGAGAAACGACGCTAATTTTACGCTTTTGTTCAAGGGTTTCTTTTTATATACTAGTACTTGAGAATGAGTCAACGAACACTTCATTGGATCGTTTCACAACTCTACCTTGTTTCTCTGCATTTAAAGATTTTCAATGTAACGATGTCGGTCGACCGACATCGTCGGTCATGAAAAGTACTTGAAAGTGAGATCAAGGGCTTCGAAACGTGTTACTGGTAAAACTAAAACTAAATTTAATGCACGTAATATTATTTTAACTTTAATAATAATATATCGATGCCAAAGGTCAAACCCAAAAATATAAAAATAGATATGAACCATCTGGGGAAAAAAAAAATTCGTTGGCCGTCTTTATTGAAAATAGGTTGAGAAACCTGAGAGGAATTCTCGGAACAAAATACGGTCAAAAAAGCATCTGCAGGACGTTTTAAATAAAAAGAAGTGAATGCCTTGATCACCCTAACTGGCATGGTTTTTGTGACAACTGCGGACAGGCGAAACGAGAAGCTAATTTTTAGTGAGTTGTAACCTCAAGGACGAAGCCACATTGTAGGCGAGAAGAAAACCGGAGCTTGGTCGGGACAAATTTTCTATGGAAGCTTTAACTGCTGGGGTGATATTAGAAAATGTTGAGTCAGTTTTTACCCATATTAAGTCCAAGGGGGATCGACATAGGCAACGGAAGAAATATTTACAGTAACTCTTTTGGCTTGGTTTTTGTATGCCTTGTCACGTTCATCCTCTTACCGTTTGTCAACGATGGATCTATCAAGTACGAAGGCAAGAAAGCATCGCTTATGAATCATGAAATCTTGTGAAACATAAGACCACGACCAAGGCTGAGCACAGCGCATGCACCAAGACTACCGATTTGTCATTATTCCAAAAAGTCACGACGGGAATTTCAGGGAAAGATCATCTCAGACTTCACTGCATGAGAGAGAGAGAAAGGACTGAATGGTCCCAGAAACAAGGAGGGTGCCTCTCCATTTAAGAACACCGCGGAAAGTGTCCATTGGCCACAACGCAATTATTTTTCTCCAGGCTTTAAATCAAGATGATATCCTCGCATTGAAGCGTCCTTTGAGAATCTATTCATGATATACACTTCTGGTGCGATGCAATTGAGAACGATTTGATATTGATTGTACCCATTTCTGAGTTCTGACGATTCTCACTTTTATTTGCCATCTTTCTGGAAGGCCCAGCATTAAAAGTAACACAATTGATAACATTGCTGCGGAATAGAAACTGAAACGATATTCAAGGAATATGAATTGAGGCAGTAACAAATTACTTCGGGTCTCCAAAACGATACTAAATAGAAGGATCCTTTGCGAATGAGGCTTCGAGAGACGTAACGCCAAGAGGATCTCGAATATACCTGTCAAAATGGATACTAGATCTATTTCATCGTGTGGGTGTTGTCATTCGAGCCAGCTGAAGGAAGAAGTCCCAGCAGTAAGAGATTCAAGACGATATGAAAAATTCACGTATGGCGGAGCATGTGGAGGAGAGGAAGTGCTGCAAGGTGTGAGCAACGCTTGCTTGTTATCTTCTCATTTTAACAGAGCCAGTTGAATCACCGTGGAGAGTGTCAAAGTGGAAGTGGATCCACTCCATTTCCATCCATACAGCTCTCTCTATATACGGTATAAACACTGTGTCTCAAAATAAGGGGTCAGTTTATTTTTCTTAATTATCTCCATCCGATATCGTGCAAGGCTCGTGCCTTTCTGCACATACCATTTAAGGTGAATAAGGATTCTTGCCAGGTGTAAAAGACTATCACCCAGTGCTTAAAATTCAATAACTTTTCAAAGTTGAAGTGTCTAAAGCGACAGTGGCGTGAAAGGTTATCTTCACACTTCCGTCGCCACTTCTCTCCTCGAGTAGGTTGTTCGAGTCGAAACCTGAAGAGGCTTTTTGCCCAGGAACAGTAGAGCGGATGAGTGACGGACTCGTCTGAGAGAGAGAGAGAGAGAGAGAGAGAGAGAGAGAGATTGTTTTAATAATTGTGAAAAAATCTTATTATTTTAAATCAGAGGGGTCCATGTATCACTAAAACAACAAAATATATCTGAGTTTCTCCCTCCCCAATTGACAGAGTAATTACCTAAAGTGCTGGAAACTTCACGACAGGCGTAGGTGTCGTTTTGTAGTAGTCAGTTTCCTGGTAATGGCTGTTTTAAAAAGAAATAACCACTTCATATAATAAAATGAAATTTACTCTAATTGAAGGTGATGATAAGTGATTTCTTTTCTATTAGTTGTTAGCCTTGTGAAAAATCAGATTTGTCCAGAAATTGGTTTATATTTACGGTATGTCATACGAAACGACGTTGCAGATGGCAATATAATTTAGCCATTCTAACCACCCGGGCAAAAACGGGCAGTTAGAACTATCATGACTGGATAACATACATATGTGAAACTTATTTTAGGATAGTTAATCCTTAACATCTATTGGCACACAAGTTTCCGGTGAACAAGTTTCCATGTCAGCAAAAAAATTGAAGTTGAAAGAAAGAAGTTCCATGATTCCATGAACTTACAGACAAATCTGATTTTTCACAAGGCTAACAACTAATAGAAAAGAAGGCACCTATCATCACCTTCCGTCAGAGTAAATTTCATTTTCTTACTATGAAGTGGTTATTTTATTTCAAAAGAGCCATTACCAGGAAACTGACTACTACAAAACGACACCTACGCCTGTTGTGAAGTTTCCAACACTTAGGTAATTACTCCGTCTATTGGGGAGGGAGGAACTCAGAAATTTTGTTGCTTTAGTGCTACATGGACACCTCTGATTTAAATTAATCAGATTTTTTCACAATTATTAAAACAATCTCTCTCTCTCTCTCTCTCTCTCGTGGAGAAGTATTACTAAGGCAACCGTGTCACTAAAGCAACCGTGAGTTCCTTCTGTCTCTCCGTTCCTTTTACGAGAGAGAGGGGCGAATCTCAGAAAATTCGTGAACATTTTGGAGGCACTCCATTGTCTGCAATGACATCGTCACGGCTTTCGGACTCGTGAGATCATCTTTATTCTTACGAGTTACACGATGTGCAGGCACAGGGACCAAAAGGGATGTCTCGCGATACCGTATTGCTCAAACTTCTAACCCATGCGACACCACAGGAACTAAACGTGGGGACGACTTAGTCGCTGTCCCTACCGGTGATGATGACCGTGAATTCGTATCCGCGGAACATGTGGCTAGATTGAAGCTTGATCTTGACGCGGTCGTGGTCGACCCCGCCCTCTAGGATCTTGCTCTGGCCTCCGGTGCCGTCCGACCAGTGATCGTGGATCGAAATCGATGTGATCTTTTTCTTCGGATACGGATACTGTAGCTGCTCGCTGGAGTACCAGAACAGAGTACCCTGAGCTCGGTTATGATACTTGAGGAGCACCCGATCGCCATTTTGCGGACGACCGGAGCGGTACTCGTGATGCTTGCCGAAAAAGTCCACTTCCTCCCATTTTTCCCATTGCGCCACGACCTTCTCCGTCAACTCGCCACCTTCTCTCGTCGACTGACGAGAAAAGAAATCGAAGACCGAGTTCATCTTCGCTTTCTTCGCATTCACAGATATCACAGCCGACGTCGCTTCGATGTCCCCGTCGTTCTCGGCTCTCGCTTGGAAACCGTCGGCAGATGCCGTTCGCACCTTCGAGTTCTTACGGCCGGCTTCACGTTCACAGATTCGAGTGGAAACTGCCTCCCCCGTGGAAAGCCTATCGCGACTGCGTGATGACCGGAGCGATCAAAGTAACAGACGCGAGAACGAGTCATTTTTGCGATAAGAATGCGATAAGTGGGAAGAGAGGGAGAAACCGCGCATTTGGATGGTATACGAGGTCGAATATCTGTCATGCGTCGGTCCTAAATAGATGATGGAAAAGCATTAAAAAGCATGGAATGATTCCACGGTGTCTCAACTGGTTCGTGAGAGACGATCGACTCGACTAGCGCACTGGTGAGGATCCTGCGGTTCTCCGGTCCCCCAACTCTGGCTTCTGCCTTTCATAAGAACGTACTCTGCTCGAGACTGGTATCATACGAGGGTGCTTTTTACCTCGAATCTTTCAAATCCCATACAGCCATCGATGCTCGCAATTAAATCGATGCCCAATCATTTCATTGTTGATCATCGACCTCGGAATTTTGCAAACAAGAAGTAAGGTTTACGACTTTTAGGTCTCATAGGTTTCCAAAGGTAGGCTCGAGAGAAAAAAATAGAGTTCCTTGCCCAGTTATAGTTTTCAATCTCGTGAACACAGAGAACGACGACTATCGTAAAGTGACGTGAGGTGAGCGTGTCGTGTCGATATCGGCCCAAATCGTGTCGCATCACCTCTCACTTCACCTTGAATCGTGAAATTAGGAAGAGGAGACGCTCAATGAATGTTTTTCATCCTACGGTAAACACGGACAGAAGTCCTGCGGATATCAGCATCGGTCGTTGTCGATGCCGACGTACGGAGATCCGCTGGACGTTGGCATAAAACGCCCAGCGGATTTCACCATGCAATGCCTTCGGTGAACCAGGTGAACTCGATCGGTTTGCGTTCGACCCCATGTTTAACTATTGTTTTGGCGACTCCGGCGGAGTGATCCCTATGTGTACGGAGTGGCAGAGTGGCAACAGGTCACGCTCGCCGCAAACAGCTTAGCGTGTTGCTAGTCTCGAGAGTCGTGGCCGACGCAAGTCCGTACGCGATCGGGGAGCGTCTCGTCGCCGGTGTTTGGGTGCCCTAAAAGTTGCGTTCTGTGAAGACCGTGGAACGAATGCAACATTAGATCTCCAGCAGCCCACATATTAGTCGGATCGTCTGTTCCGAGAACGACGATGCGAAGATCGGTGGAAGTTGATCTTGGTTATCGTTGTTTTCGACGAGGGCAGTTCCTACTGTTGCCAGCAGTTATTAAAAAAAGGTTTTCAACATCTGAATCAAATCGACACGTGGCTTTCGCGGACGAGTGAGCTACTTACCTCGACACCAAATCTCGTAACTGCTACGTTTAGAGCGACCCTAACCCTCAATTTTACGAAGAATAATTTAATACCTACCTCGTGTCACGTGGGCTGGTATCAACGAGGAGGTCATCATTTTCCATAGTTCTTTCCCGAGGGTGGTGAAACCGATGAGCGTCATCTCGACATGTTAGCAACATGGCTGATACGAGAATTAGACAAAGCAGGGATGATTGCCAGTTTGCTTTTTCGGCAAGATGGTGCTCCTGCACGGTGCTCGCTCGCATTGCGTGAGTTTCTGAATCTCCTATTTCCAGGTGGATCGGAAGGTCCGGCACGCTTCCTCCGTCACTGCGCAGTCCAGATTCCCTAAGGTAACTGCTTATGGTCTTTCGTTAAAGGAGACATCGACAAGAACCGAACGGAGACGATCGAAGCGCTTCAGGCAGCCGTTTGTCGTCTCGAAGGTGCTCTGTTTACTCACGCATATGCTCCAACTGATGGTAATCTTTTTGCACGCACACGCTGGTACGGGGTGTCTCAAAAGAAGCGTAAGGATTCTTAATGCACATTTACGAAAGAAAGCTTCGCAGAATGAAGATGATCCCGCGATCAAAGAGATTTCTTCGTATACGTTGCCCTATAAAAATAATCTCTTCGAAATGTCGATCTCGTAGCAGCATCGACGAGCTTGCTTCACGGCTGCCTCCGTCACCGTGACGAGGATTCTCTTGAGCAGAGAGTAGAGTTTCTCTAACTTTTTGGGTCCACGACCCCGTTTCACGGGTACCAAAAGCTCGCGACCCCCAATTTGTTGGTTCTTGAAGCTAATAGAAATCAGCTTTAACCATCTGAAGAAAAGAAGTGATGGGTGATTTCATGTCAGTCCGCACACTTTTTCCCCGATCCCCTCCGATTTCAATGAAATTCGCAAGCCGATAGTAAATAATGAGAAAAGTAACTACAGAAAATTTCAGTTCCATACATGATGTATTCTGAGAATGACAGTCAATGAAAAAATTGCACCATTTTAGGGCACTTTGGGCCCAGGGATTACAAAAATTGTCATAACTCTGTTAGTAATGAATATGAAGACGTGGATATGGTATCGTTTGATAGGATATAAAATCACGCACCAAAATGCTCATATCTCTCTTGATAATAAAAACTCTAAACGAAATTCGCGGTGTACATAAAGGAGGACATGGCTGATGATATCCTAGAATTTTAGCGAAATCGAGAATGGGAATTTAGGTCAGGGTCAGGTCAATTTTCTAGGTCGTTACAAAACATGTAGACCAAGGTCATCAATTTTATCACCATGTGTTACACATCGCATAGGGAATTTTATATCCTATCCAGCGATACCATATCCACTTCTCTATATTAATTACTAACGGAGTTATTAAATTTTTTTGTGATCCCTGGGCCCAAAGTGCCCCAAATGGTCCAATTTTTTTTTAGTTTTGCTAACTGTCATTCTCAGAATACATCATGCATGGAGCTGAAAGTTTGTTTTCTCATTATGTACTATCGGCATGCCGAATTTCATTGAAATCGGGGGGGGGGGGGGGGGGGGGGGCGGGGGGGGGA